TATTTATTTTAATATACCTACTTATAATTCTAATTGAATAGGTATTCAAATCGAAACGAGTGCGCAACATACATTTGGTCTCTGTATCTTATTACTTATTAGGTTATTTAGAAACGATTTTTCGGACCATAAAATATACTCATCAAAATATAATATTTCAATAAAATTATTATACAAATATCAAAATTATAAATTGACCGATTACTGTATAGTAGTTTAAACTTTATCTGATAGCCTTGTATATTATTCAAAATCTCAGAACTGTAGGTGTAGACCTCGGATAAACGTCAAAATTGTTATTTAATCCTCTACGTAAAAATCTTGTATCATTATCGTTTATAAATAAAATAACATATTTGTGTATATGTATAATGTATATATTATAATATGATATAATCGTTCATCCATATGTATTCTTACGTTTTAGTACTCTAAAAAAAAAATCGTTTACTAATACTTAAAACATAAAAAAAATCAATCAACGTAGGTATGTATAGATATTTATTAACACAATAACAATACATTAAACACTTATAAATCTGTACAAGTATAATATTGGTAAGATTTGTGTTAAATAAGTAGCTTAAAAAAATGTATAATTCGGTTTATATACCTACACCACTTAAAATATTGAAAAGTCACACATATAACAGAGATCAGGTGTTAGGACATTTTACCATTACATATCGCGTATTCATTCATCTTGGCGCTGAATAGACAATAGTGGTAAACATGATTTTTTTTTTTTTTCATCAATATAATGTATAAAAAAAATTAAATAAGCGAAAAAAGAGAAAAATTCTGAATGAAATTAACGTAAAAATTGTCAAGATTTTTATTAAAAAACAAATGTTTCCGTAAAATGTTTAGTCCTAACAAATACAATTTGTTAGGTAACTAAACTTTTAAATTTAAAAATCATTTTAATTTGTTTTCAATCTATAGTGTTTATGAAGCGTGGAATTTGTCAGCTATTACAGTATGTACAAATTTTGTAACCAAATAAAAATCGAAAAAATCGTTATAAAACCAATCTGTTCTATCAGTAAAATAAAAAAAACCACTAAAATTTAAATTTATTTAGGTATTGTGGTTTATACTTTATATTTTTAACAAACTTATTTTAAACTAGGTATGTGACGAAAACACAAGTTATTGAGTATTTAATCAATAAGTAACAATGATTAATATTATTCAAATTAGTATTTTTTTTTTTTTTTTAATAATATTTATATACAATTTTTGGTTCATTCAATTTTACTCCTTGTTTTTTATTTATGTATTTTAATAAATAAATTAATGTTTCTAATTATTGTTATATTATACATTTGGATTCTCATACAACTCGTGTATTTGACTTACCAAATAATCGAATATTATCAATTATTTCATTTACAGATAATCTACAGAAAGATGATGACTGATGAGTAACCAATAACAAAACATCAAATACCAGCCAAATATTCGTATAAGTACCTACTGTGTTACTACAATATATATACATGTCGATAGCTTCGAAACAGCGATTCGTCATGTAAACGATTCGTGTGAATCTATCCTTAAAATTTCTATTAATTACCTATGCAGTAATAGCTATTATATTATATATGCACGAAATGTGAATATAATTAAAATTGCATTATTGAATTACAATAGGAATAAAATAATAATAAAATTTGCTTACAAAATTATAGCTGATTTACTAATGTATATAAAATCACAACATATTTAGTATGCTTTTTTACCGATTACGTCATATTATATTAATTTATGTAGGTATTAATATAATTGTTATACTTATATGTATTATGACTTAGAAACATTCCTATACACATTAATGTTATCTATTTTTTTTAGATTAATGATCAATGATTACCAAATAATCGGGTAGAAAATCTGTTTCAATATTTACAATTTTTGTGTTTACTGGACTTATTTAGTTAAACAGTTATTATATTATTGTTATTTGATTAATGTGTTATGAAAATTAATTTTTTAACGATATTAAGTATTGAGCGATTGTTTCATTATAACTTAGGCTATGTTTTTCTGTAATATTTTTCAAAATCTACTTACACTAGAGTACCAGATGAGTAATAACTATACGACAGGTCAACAGATTTTTTTTTAATTGAGTCATAGTACCTATGGATATGTTTGAACTTTAAAAAACTATTTTTTATCACATAATATAATTCCTGTATGAAACATAATATTATTAAAATTATGTATAAATTATTATTATTATTATTACGTGCTACCTTGTCATTGCTCGTGGTTTAAGGAGTATTATGTAGGCAAATTTTCATTACCTCATGTTATATGTGTAACTCCCGTCGTAACTCGTTAATGTGTGTTAATGTACAATAGTAAACTATTAATAATATTGCTATTAATATTAGTATTAATATATATATATATATATACATTATTTAAATTATGTGTCCTGTGTAGTCGAAGAAGTAGGCACTTTATAAATAACAATAACGCATAGAAACGATTTAATAATCATTGAACAGACATAGAAACATTTCGTTAGTCGTAAAGACGTTAACACGCCTATAATAATATATTAGTATTCATGCTATCAAAACAATATTGAATATTATTAGGTAGTAACTATTGTATGCGTTTTATTCCGATAAAAGTTTCAAATGTTATGAGTTTATGACATTGGTTTAGCGAGATAAACAACAATCCTCATAAAAATCATATACAAGACTCTAAGATAAAAGTATATAGCCAGACAATAGCACCGTCGTTTTATTTACAACACAAATTCTTAGGAAATAAAATAACTCCGTTTCTTTGAACAATAATAGTTAAAAAAAAATTTTAACTTTAACAATGACATTTTAAATAAGATCGCCATGTTATTTCGTCATGCAAACATTACCAGGTAGATATCTTGAGTAATTGATAAGCCCTATTACATATTTTGTGACGATTTTTGTGGTAAATTGACAAACGAGCATGGGACGTTCTATTAAATTACAATTGGATTCACAATTTATATATTACTCAAGTTTATTGTAAACATTTATTTGTACCGTTATCATCACGGTTATTACCACGTGTCATTTATAACCATCATACTATGTTAGGTTTAGATTTTCGTCCAACACAAAATTGCAGAATAAACATAGCTTTCGAATGTCTATAGAGTAATATGTGAAATAATAAAACATGATGTGTGCAAAAATGAATAAAAAACGACCAAATCATTCAAATAATATTCAAATTTCAAAATGTGTACGATACTACTATTAGCGATTGTGCCAGACATATCTAACATCAAGGTTTTTTCTCTCCCGATTTCGACTATTAAGCGTTTAATTACAATAATGATGTAATTATAATAAATATATTATACCTAACCAGTTCCCGCTTATACCTAAGCCAGTCAACCGATCCATGCCACGCCAAGATGGTTTATAACAAGATATGCGCGCGCGCCATACTAATGTAAAACGTATAATAATATAAATAATATGTTATTATTATTTTTATTGTTATATTTTTAATATCACGTACTCACGAGGTTATCTCTTTTAACCGCTTTCGTTCCGCGTATATATCATTATAATAGCCGGACACACGTCACTGTGTTTGGTGACTTTTATTACGGGTTCGTTGCGGTGGCGGATAATGGCCATCCAGACAAATCCTCTTTAGGAATTGTGTGACGTATTAATTGATATGTTATTATTATATTTTTAAGGTGCGCACTGTGTATCGACAGACACGACGACCGGACCGCGTTATCCGATCCCCGTGTCGCGTACGCGGATTATAAACGCGGCACTCAAGTCATCATCATTATCATCATCATTATTATTATTGAACATCAGATACAACATAACGAATAATTCGGCATTGCTCCGGCAGGCTCCGGATATATGGGGAGGGGGCAGTTAAGTCCGCATCGTTATTATCTTGTTTAACGGAACGTGTTCGTCCCCCGTCATCCGGCTGTCGGAAATCCAAAATTTCTCGAGTGCCGTATGCCCGTATATATAATAATATAATATATCAAAACTGTAAAAATAATTATAATAATCTAGAATATAAAAATAAAAAAAGCTCCTGTGTAAACTGTATTAGTATTTATGTATTTTTGAGCTACCTGCAGCAGGAGTACAATAAAATCTCTTTTAAACGTATAAATATAGTTATTCTGGGTAATATTATATATTCGTATACATTTAAAAGATATCATAGACTTAATTTTAGTGCATTTATGAATTATTGATTGTAATAAAAATACTTATTTTTATCTTAGCAATCGATAAAAAAAAAATCTTCGTTTTACTTTATTCTTGGACGAAATCATTTAATAAATAATGTAGAACAGATAAAACTATTTCACGTACCTATCGATGGCATTGTTGTAACATCTTTTAACATCTTATACTCGTATACTCACATTATAAAAACTTTAAGTTGTAAATATAGGATAATAAGAATAAACAATTAAATTAATACAATTTAAGACTGTAAAAATTAGGTATATAAAAATAAATATAACACATTGCTCATAATTATCTGGTCGTGTTAGAAGAATACTACACAACGATTTGGTAAAATCATTATAACTTATAACTAATTATATAAATATGTAATAATCCACAAATCATTTTTCGGAAGTTCATATTGTATAAGTACAGTATTTTAGTTCTTATGTTAACATAGAAAAAGATAATATATATTAATATACTTTAATGTTGCCTACCAAACTTCGTTTAAAAATGACTGAGTAGGTAATAATAGTAAATTATTAAAATACATAAATATTGTCAATATTATTCAGCATAATTTAAAATAATCGTTTTTGATTTTTAAATTCTATTTTCAGTGTCAAATTCTAATTATTTTTAAGAAAATATGCTCGAAAAATAATTTTAAATGTCAATATGAGTATTATTATATTGATTTTTAAAAATTAAAATATAAAACATTACATTAAATCAATATAATGAAACAATAAATAACTACCCAGGTATAATATATTTAGTATAAGCATAATCAATTAAAACATGTTATATGAAATGTAATTTATCAAAAGCTTTTGGACATGTTCGATTTCAAGCTGTTATGAAAATAGATAACGATTTCACTGGATCAAACAGATTTTCACAAATATAACAATTATATAATGTATATCGAACCAGTAAACTCTGTTTGTTAAGACATCACAGTCTATGAATTTTAACGTAAGTTATAATATTGGTAAATGAATTTTTCCGTTCCAAATAAAAAAAGAAAATCTAAAATGTGAAAGAACGCAGAGAATCTGACTGATCGAAAATAATTGTGTTCACCTATATCAGACTTGACTGCGTAAAATGTCGGTTTCGGATTCGAATGTCGTTTGCAAATCCTGTGCGGTTTCCATTTCATCAACCGGCATAGCTGTGTACAAATGATCATACGCATAATTCGGTAGTAAATTATCATAAACCCGTGGAAGTTTCGAACGATGAATTGCCATAAAATCGTCGTACGATGGAGGTGGCTCGTCGATCGATGACGTTAAAAGCAAGCCTACATTGTATTTACAGTCATAATTTAAATTGGAACTCTGCACTGGTGGTAGTGTTGTGTACCAAGGATTTGAAACGTTTGTTCTAGTATTTTGCACATCGTGGTACGAAGGAGGCGGATCATTAATATTATTTTCATGTTCATAGACGTTCAACGGCATTACACAACTTTGGTCGTCACTATGTGCATCAGAGGACGGTAGACCGTCGTCAGATAGAATTTGATTTAAACTTGAATGTACTCTTCTCGTAGAAACTGCAGTGAAAAAAAATATGTACAATGAATTATTTATAGGTACATTTATTTATCGTAATTGCATTATATTATAATATATTGTACAAATGTAAACATAGAGTGATAAATTAAGCGTGCGCACATTTTTCTTCTTCAACAATGTAGTTATTTAAAATGTGAATTTTGGAATTTTTTAATTGACCTACTTATAGCCCATATTTTCTAATTTTCAATTTCTTGTACGGTATAAAGAGTGCTCAGTGAAGATACAAACATCTATTTTTCAAATGAGATATAGTTCTCATTTGAAAATAGATGTTTGTATCGCCACAGGACACTACTTGAAATTTTAATAACTTAAAATATAGTTTTTAATTAGTTGTATTATTAGTAAATATATTTCTATATTAATAAGTGGGTACTCAAAAATTTTAAAAATCAGAGTTTGAATAAATTCATTCGGTACTAAAGTGAAAAAAAAAACGGGTGTGAGTGGCATACCTCTAGTAAATCACTCAAAATATAAATTACTATTGTCATAGATATTTAAATACTATACCTAAGCTTGTTCATTGATTATAGATATAAGTAGTACATGTATGAAATATTAATAGTACAATTTTTGTTTGTCAAGTATATTTAAAATTATCAAAATTAAAATATAATTTTGTAATGTAAAATAAAACTATTATTCATACTTGAATCGAAGCAGTCTCTAGATGCATGTACTACAAACATATATATTATACACATGCATATAAATATTTTGAATATAAATCCAATTTTATTCAGATAATTTGAAGCTGGAGCTTGATGTTCAGTATTTGCTTGATAAGTTTCATTTTGGCATAAATTAGTACTATTTGAATCTGTACATATTTCCTAGATTTAAATTTAGTGAACACTTATAGAAATTTTATAGCTTATAAATATCTACAAAATATTATCAATTATTTTTAGCAAATGTGCATTTCGATAACCGTTTTTGATTTGATTACCACGATTACTATAACGTTTAAATGCGTATTTGCTGTAAATAGAATATATTTTTATTTTTTTTTTAGTTATGTTTATTAATATTAAAAATTAATAAATAAATAATTATGATATACCTGATGATTTTAAGGCTTGGATTGTTTTACATTGTTTTCTGAAGTTCGTTTAATAACATATACGTTTCGTGTATTTTTGAATCAGAATAAGAAAATTAATTTTTTAATTTTTTGAAGATTTTAGGATTCTAGAACATCCAACTCTAAAATTTTGTTTATTTTTTTAAAATTATTTAAAATTTTATTTAAAAAGTAACTTTATAACGTACTAGGAAGTTTATTATCTAAATATTTAATCGTAATTTGTTTAACGATTCCGTAAAACATTAATAATTAAACGAAATAATTTTTTATTTTTAAATTAAAATTCTACATAGTAGGCTAGAAATTGTACAGTTCTATAAAACTTTTTTTAAATATATTAAAATATGTGTCTTGGTTCAAAGCTTGTAAAATAAAAAGTAAGAATATGAGCATATTTTAGAAATATTATTATGAAATTTTAGAGCATTAAAGTATTTTTTAGGATATTATATTTCCAATTACATTATTAATAGATGTAACTATTTGCATAATAGGATCTATAATATTATAAATTTATAACAAATTTTTACAGATTAATTAATTTATAATTAATAATTAGGTGTTCTATCACGAATTTGTATTAAAAAACTTAAAGAAAGGTCTAAGAACACTATCAGATACATATCATGTATTATTTAGGTATTATAAATGATTTTTTATGATTTATATTGTGACAAATAATATAATTTAATGTGTAACATTGCAATTTGTGATTATTTCCTAATAAATTACGATTATATTTCGAAATATTTCGTGATTATAATTACCACACTTTTTTAGCTATACAATATACATGTTTTACTATATTAAAAATAAAATTATATTAATTATATTTCAATTTTCAACCAATCCTTATCTTTTTAATATTCTTTTTTTTTTTTTGATTAAGTTTTACTATAAATATTAATATTAATAGATTTGAAAATATTATTACACAGTTAGGCTGCAATAAACGTATCATATGTTTATTTTAGAACAAAAACTTACTATTTTTAAAATAAATCTTATCAAATTATTCAAATTCATTCAAACATATTTGCTGTGGTTATTATACATACTTCTTTACAATTGCTTGTCTTGGGCTTACAAAAACAAGGTATACACAATTCGTTATTTATTGTAGACATGTTTTCATTTTTTCCATCTACATATAAGGTGACGACATAAATACCTAAAGAATAAATTGAACTTCAAAATAAAAAATGCAAATTTTATTGGTATGATATTTTTTTTACCTGATATCTGACTCCATATAAGTATCAATGACATAAAAAAAATACTCATATTCGTTTGAATAATCACTGGTGTAAGTATATAAAATATATGTGTATGAGTTCAACTAACCTGCAGTTTTATTCATATATCAATAATATTTTAATTAAGTATAAACATTTCATAATGACATACAAAAACATTTTACTATACTATTCGAATATAATGCGTGACTTGGTATAATAGTATAATTTAGATAACCAAAATCTTTACTAAATAATTCAATATATATTCAAATAGAAATAAAAATAGAATAAGTAAATCAATATTGGGATTTAGACTTTGGTACTTGAAATGTGTTTTTAGTTTTAAACAAATGACAAATAATATTTTATTTGAAAGTTCTTTTGATCTGTACGCTCAATAAAAAGGTCATATTGCTTATTAATTGTTCCCACTTATTCATTATTTAATCGCTTGATCTACTATTTACTTAAAAAATGTCAACTCAAATAATTGAAATACCTATACAATATACTTTTATTTATTTATTGTAATTTTTATTATCATTAATATTTTATGTTCATTTCATTTTTAGTCAAATTTAAAATTCTTAATAACTAATAAGTGAAAAACAAAACTTTATATTATCTGACCAATACGACATGCATCATAACATTAATTATCAAAAGACGCAATAGAATACTTACATAAAAGAAGATCATAATTAGAGATAATAAATAATAGTACCATTACAACGATTATAATATTGTAAAATGTTCATAAAATAAATTTGTACAGAATGTTTGAAATGATTATATTGTTACAATAATAATTGTAATATTCAGAACCTTTCAACGTTAAAATAAACTGAGCGCACACTAGTAAACCGTCTGTGATAATAATACAATGTCGATAATTGTAGTAGGGAAGTGAAATACAGCTGTAATGAGAGAATGTTTTTGCTGTATTGTATGTTTTTTATCAATAATTTTTAGCATAAGCATACTTGAAGCATTACGTGTGCTTAGATAGGTTACAATGATATGCACACAATATATTGAATAACAATATTTTACATTGACAAACCATGACCTTGTTTTTGCATTAATAATTTTTTTTTTTTAACTAGTACCCAACTAAAAATAATTTGTATTTTGTGTATAAATAAAAAGTGAATTATTTTTAATTATTAAATAATAATAATATTTTATTAATGTTTTTATTAATATTGATGAATATTCCTTTTACATATAATCAATAAAAATAAATAGTAGGAAATAAAATATATACCTATATAAAGGTATACTACAGTATAGTGTTATATATATATATATACTATTGTATCAATAACTTATAAATCACAAAAAAAAAAATAATAATAAATAGGCACTCTAATTAATTTTTCGGAAATTTTCAAACTGCACCCAAAATACAGATAAATCCAAAATCAAACGTGTAATTTGCGCAAGTTTTTATCAAGTGTAAAAAGGTAACATGTAAACTACACCCGTGTAAAATTTTAAAAACTAATAGTTTTATTTTTGCAAAAGTAAAATATTACAAATATTATAAATAATAACATATTGCTGATACATATTATTCATAAATTTAATTGGAGTTTGATCACTATCATTTTAATTAATTAAATTTTGTAACTTTTCGCTTTTTTTTGTTTTAGAATGCAATAGCTATTTTATAACGTGTTGGTGTTTTTAGAAGAAAATACAATTTTTGTGATATAATTGAAAAAGTACACAATCATAGAGACTTTAATAAGTCAAAAGTCGGGTGCCTTTTTAGTTTTTACATAAATAACATTTCAGGCGTAGCTTACAAAAAAAAGAAGGTCATTTGGGCGCAATTTACGTATGTCCAAATTTTTATAAATGGTCTATTCAAATTATAATAACTTATATAATTTATATTTATGTATATGATTGTGGAATTAATTTTTCTATGCAGAATTCAAGTTGATATTTTAAAATAAATATTATCCTCGGCTATTGTAATAATTGAAAGTAAAACATTTTTTACTGGATATAAAACAAATGTGTCTGGTTATTAGTGTACTTACATTATTTTTATTATAATAGTTTATGCTCTATATTTTACTTAAATTTATTACTAAGAACACTATTTGTTATAAATATTAATAGTTTGAGTAATTTGTTTGAACAAATAATTAATTTGATTAAAATTGATTTTTTTTTACCAAATTTGAATACAATGAACAGACTGTTTTGTTAATATTTTAAAAATTGAACAGTTGTTTTATCTGTTGTCATTTTTTATATCATAAAGTATTTAGTGTTCAAAAAATTATTTGTGTCTACTATGATATCGAAAGATTCCTTTGATATTAAATAATCGCATCGACATGAAAATTTTTAACGTTTTTGAAAATATCTTTTTGATCAATAATTTAAAGTCATAAACAATGTTTTTGAAATATATTTTTATCGTAATTGTTTTTAAGCATTTTTACTTTCTTGAAAGACTAGAATCATTGGAATCCTTACATGTTTTTATGAAAAAATAATTTACGAGAACAGTCAAAATACTATTAAGATATTTTATTTCTATTAGTGTATATAAAATACAATAGCCCTTGTTGGTTAATTAAATTTGTAACAATTTTTACTTTAATAATAATGCTGTATGAGAGGTTTGGCAATGTGAAAACAGTTCGAACCCCGTGTAGTAATTTAAACGTGAAAAAAAATACACAAATGATAAAAGAGTATGAAATATGTGCTGCCATCTGTAAATTATATCATTCTCTTTATGTTCTGTGACATACGTATGACGTAAATGTACGTCATTGCTTTCAGTAAATTGAAATGCATTATTTAATTTCTTTAAAATAAATCTACTCTGAAGACGAGCTATAATAAAAAAATAATTAAAAATAATAATTATCCATATTAAATTCAAATAATCTTAAAAATTAGACTTAATTTGTTACACTCGACAACTAAAATATGAACAGGTATCAAATTTATAATTTAAATAATTATTAAACAATTAAACTTAAATTACAAAAAAATCTTTTCTAATTAATTAGGTTTTTTTTTTTTTAAAAGTATAGTAAATTTATCAAATTACTTATCATTTAAACTAAATATTAGTCACTTTTTGTTTAAATAATAATTATTTCGTAGCAATGAAATCAATCTTAAAATAAATTATTATTACGACACAAGTTAGGTTAAGTTAATTTTCTTTATCCACTGTTGAACTGTTGAAGTTAAAAGTAATAACACATAATTATAACACATTATTATTATAATATAACAATATATATATATATTAATATTATAATTATAAGTTATAACACATTTTTCTACACATCATTATTTGTAGAAATTCTTTACTGTTACCTAATTTATAAAACATAGTTACTATATAATTGCTCTCGTTATATTCACTTATCATTATTTTTACATTACTTTTAAACATTTACGTACCTTAAAGTATTTTGATTTTTGCGAAATGTAAAAATGTTATCAAAAGAGTTGATCTTTGTTTAGTATGACTGTTACGGATAAGCTGAACACGCGAACTGACTTATCTTTACGTAGTTATATTTTACTTAATAGACACTGTTATATCTACTGTAATAATAGAAAGGTATATCATTTTAATTGAGATTTTAATTTTTATGCTTAGTATTATTTTTATCAATGCTGTATTTTTAGAAATAGAGCACTCCGAGTACACAAAACAGTTTAGTACTTCTTAATCCTTATTCATTAACATATTGTAACTACATAGACACAATCTTAAAAAGTCTAAACTAGAGATGGCTAGGGGGTGCTTAGTCCTTTCAGTTTGCCAAATAGCCCTCCTCAGTTTTTCTGTCATGTTACTTTAAATTATTTTGTGCAAATTTAGTTGATAATTTATCAATTTCGATAAATTATTTGCAATGATAATAAAAAAATTTTTATCTATATTGCATATTGTATTCTATTTCAACTGAAAGCTTATTATTAATCACTTACTTCTTTAGATATTTTTCTCAAAATGGATTTAAAAACAGTGAATATTTTCAATATTTTATAAATAAATATCCGGTAAATTTTGAAAACTTAAAAATATTTATTTAATACATAAAAATTCATATTAATTGAAAATTTTATGGTTTTTAGTCAATTTTAAATGTAAATCAATATGATTTGAAGACATAGATGCACGTTGCTAAAAACTGTGTATTAAATTTAAAAAAACGATTTTGATTTAGACATAATCAAACAAATTGTGAAGAAGGGTACTTACAAGTAGCTCTAACCATACCGATAAGTTTAAAAACGTGCAAGCGATCCTTCTCTTGTATGAGATGTATTAAAAATTGGTAAAGAACATCAATGGTGCAAGATAGGTTTTTAAATTTAACCATTATAAATATTGAGAAAGATATGTGATTTATATATGAAAGATATATAAATAATAATGACATATTGGAAAAATAAAATTAATTAAAAAGTTGACGAATACATAATAAATAGAATAACAATTATTTGTATTTATTTTTTGATTATAAATAAATTTTATAATATAACATTTCAAATGGAAGCAAATAAATTTGTTTGGGGCTATAGCCCTCTACAGAATTTTTACCTTAGTTGTACCTATAGTCTTAGACAATTTACGAAGTCTCTCGAAATACCATAAATATCTTCCTAAACGAGTCCCCAAACGAGACTAATTCTAGATGTGTTGATAAAACTTAAGTCCCTCAAAATTTTGAGTGGCTACTCATTGTGGAATATTTGATGTCTTATAGTAAAAATATCTTCTAAATCACGATCCAAGATTTTTTAGCGTAAGTATCCACCTATATAGGAATAATCGTGGCCTATATATTTTTTTTTTTTAGTACATACTAATTAAAAATATAGAATAAAAAAATAAGTATTACATTTTATGGAAGTTCATTTTTTATCTTATTTTTACATTACAGGCCATTTATAATATTATTACTATAACCATCTATAGGTATCTTAAGAATTTTATTTCATTATTTTTAATGTATACATTTATATTTAATTAATATTACACCACTGATAAATACAAGTTTAATATATTTTTTATAAGTGGGAATTTGATATTTTCAAATAATTTAATAATTATTAATTTGTAGAATTAACATTATTAAAAATCTAAAAATAATATTATGTGTTTTCAAAAAATAAAATAAAATATTAATATGATAATCTGTTATAAGCCAATATTATGATGGTTGGCTGTTATTATTATCAAATGACAATCATAATAATATTATAGATACTCATATGTATGTATGATAAACAGATCATAAAATGGTAAATTTAAATAAAGTTGTTCATATTTATATATATATATATATATATATGTGTGTGTGTGTGTGTGTGTGTGTGTGTATGTATAAAGTCAGTAAAATAATATGCATAAAATAATATAATATACATATAATAAATTATATATAGTTCAATAAATAAATATTATGTATACATTTGACACAGGAACATATATATACATCATACATTCTTCAGTACTAGGTATGTAGTACACTTATTTAGTATTATGATATGATATGTATCAAGGTCCAAATAACGAATTAGAAAATCTCAATGCATACAATGTCGGATTCACATGATATTGTATGAAAAATCTTGATCTCTTCTCATTATATCATCGATATAATTATATAAATGGATATAGCGAGGTGTTTAAAGTGAACTCGCCATGCACTCGTCATATGAAGGCGGTGGATCATCATACGAAGATCTTGAAAATGAAGTTACATTAGACGCATTAAGCTCCACATAATTCAAACTAGAACATAATGGTACAATTCTGGCTTGTGGAGTGAAAATGTTAATTCTAGAAGTTTGTTCGGCATTATATGGCTGCAGATGAGGTTGAGTAAGCAACATATTATAGATATCTTCATACTCCAAATCATTTAAAACACTTAATGGCTGCACTGAACAACGTTGTTGATCACTGTTAATATTGGTTAAATGCCTGCCATTATCCAATTCAATTTGATTTAAATAAGGATTTGATATAAAAGGATCATCTATAGCAAATGCATTATTAATTATTAAACAAAGAACAATATATATTTATAGATTTATTATTGGTAATGGATGTGTGTTCAGGTAATAACTATACTGTGCTATTATGTAGATTTTCTGATAAAATTCAGTCCTGATTTAATATTTAAATGTTTAGAACAATAACTACAATTTTTGAAAATTAAATAACGAAGCATTTATAAATAAGTACCTACTATAAAATGAGAACATAATCATATTATATAATATGATATACCTGTAGTAAAGCATAATTTCCGGAAACAGACAAACATAAATAAAAGAAATGTTAGAGGTGTCACAAAGTACAGATACATTTTTTCATCCATTGTCGAAGTCAGAAGCAGTCACTTATATGCTATTTTTTCTACACATCTTCCGTGATTAATTCTCTATTTGCTATCTAATTTAAAAAAACAAAACACAAATCATATTTATGAACATTTTAACGAAATATCAACATACTTATTAGTATTTATATAATTTTTAAACTCAATAATTAGATGAATCATAATAATTAATTTTAAAGTTCCTTATAATTATAAAATATCAAACTTTTATTTAATTTATAAACGTTGCACCTAGAAACTATAACTAGACCTCTCTTAGACTCAATTTTGGCGCTTATAATTTTTGAGGTAAACTGTTGAAACAAGCATACCTACACTATTATCGACTACGAAAATTACTTAAAAAATAATCGTAGAAAAAGTTGTAACTTTCTGATTATTTTTCCCATTATTTAAATTATTTGGGTAAATCGATTCATAATATTAAGGTATTGCTTGTGAACTCTGAATTAAAATATTAAAAAAATGTAATGTTACTAATGATCGCCGATCTTTTAATGTATTTTTATATAGATTACTAATCAGAAATTTATTATTAAGAAGATATATCTCTAGCTTGCCCCCATTCGTATTCAAAAATTGAATACAGATTACATACTCGGTACTCCTACCGAAATATTAAGTCTCCATCTTTATTCAATGATTGATGATTACAGGTGACATAATTATATTGACAAAATTAATTATATAATAGTTTTAACTTTTAAGTATGCTCAATTATAAAATATTTGATGTTTAATAAAAAAAATTGAATTAAATTAAGTTTAAATGTTTGTGAGTGAGTAGAAAATGATCAGTCAGGCACTGTCTGTTTTTACACAATAATGGTTATAAGTTATATGATTTCTAGTTTTAAATACTTGAAATAATAATTATTATTGGATACTCACTATATTGATGATACAGATATGAACAAACCACGTATATATACACACATATATTTAAACAACTATACATCATAATATATATTATACATATATAAATAATGGATAAAAACAGTAATAAGTGTTAAATTAATACAGACGACATATAATTTGGCTAATAGAACCAATTTAATAGTAAAAATTGTTGTCGAAGTCCGTAATAATAATTAATAGTAACATTTTTCTGTAATACGTTGAATTTCTATGTAATCAAAAAACCTTGCTATTGAGGTAAAATATTTTACGATATAATAGGTGATAATGTCAAAATAACTTATATATTTGGGCGGCCACATTTATATTTCAATGCGCGAACGTAATCAGGTAAGGGGCATGTCGATAACAAGTATGATAATTTTTTTAATTTATCATATAGTATTACAATATTATGAATTATAATTGTGTGTGTATGTGTGTGTGTGTGTGTGTATACGATATTCTAATGCAGTTAATTAAACAATATAACAGTATTTGCATTTATTTGTCATATTGGCGCAAATAACATTCTATCTCCGTTTAGTTATATAATGTTATGTAATAACTAGAACGTGGATTTCTATGCAATTGCATATTTTTTTGGCTTTGTGTCAATTATCTTCACGAATCATAACAATTTGAATTTAATGGTAAATGCTTTTTTTTACATATTTCTGCGTATTTAATGGTTATTGCATATTTTTGCATATTTCTACAAAATTCGAAATATATTACATGTTAAAATGAAAATTTTTTTTTATACTTAGTTTATTTAAGTAATTAATTATTGTAAGTTGTTTAATTTGTAAATTTTATTATAATTTAAAAAAATTTTCTTGCATATTTATTGCATATTTTTATAATTTTTACCGCATATTAAATTATTATATGACATATTTCGATACCTTTTAGTGCATAAAAGTCCGTGCTCTAGTAATAACTATATGATATTATATAATATAATTATTATTAATGTCACCATTCTAGTTCAATAAATATTAAATTTTAATGATTATTTTAATTATATAATAAATATTTAAAATATTAATTTATGAGATATTCACTACACCAAGTACTCAACAGCATAAAAAGATCAGTATAAAATTTACAACTCACTAGGTACTTACATAGTTATTTATTAGGTAAATAATAGACAAAAACATTGAGTATTATACTTAACATACACAACATATACTTCGGATATTAGAACCAACACAATGAAAAATATTGCTGTCGGTGATCAATGACCAAGTACAATATTATTTGTTTATTTATTGAATGTACGAGTTGGTAGCCAAATGGTTATACATTACAAGAAACATTAAGTACATAGTTGAATTATTAATATACAATTAAAACATAAAATAAGAAACAAAAATAGCAAACATTTGAAACAAACATGAAACAACAAATAAAACATAAAATTTATTATAATACGGTACCTATTAGTTATAATAAAATTTTAAAAAAATTGATTTAGTAGTTATTAGAAGTTAAATTTTTAAATTCAATATACACCAATACGAGAAAAACTTATTATTATTATTGCTTACCTATTATTTTTTTATTGTTATTGCATATTTAATAATTTTATATCATACCTATACTGTAATATTAATTCATTTATCACAAATGTAAAAGGGTAAATCCCAAATATCTAAATAAAAATAAAAATGTACCGATGGAATTTTCATTTTTTTTTTTTTTTTTTTTTAGATAAAAAAAACAAACCGGAGGAATTCACATGAAAAAAGGTCTAAAAAGGTCGCAATCGGTAGTATTTACATGCGCCCTTTTAAAAGTCAGTGCAGTATTACACGACTGATGAAGTTGATCATGCAATAGGTTATTGATATTTTTCATATTCCAAACCATTTAAAATAGTATTTATGGCCCTGAATAACTTTTTAGGTCGCTGTTGATGCTAGTTAAGTGTCTGCCATTATCCATTTGAATTTTATTTGATACTACAGATTCTAAAACAAAATTAATTATCAATTATTATTAAATATAGAATAATATATAATTATTAATTATATATTTGTTATTTATTTATTATACTTATGAATAACACTAAATGTATAAATTGTATAATAGCATACTTCAAATTTTCACCAAAATTTCTATCAGTTTTAAGTTTTCAAAATGTATGTATGTTAAATAGAAATAATGATTTTTTTTATGTGTATAAGCATAAATTACATTACTATAAAATTAATTTAAACAAAAATTAAAAATTATCAAGTATTTTGTTTAAACAAACTAAACATTCATGTTATTTAACCTATAAGATTTAAAATATTTTTATAACTATACCTTCCACAAAAATAAAAGAATGTAACTGGTTGCGAAAATATTTTTAAATTAATTTTAAGTCTATACATGTACAATTGTACCAGTTCTGATTATCAGAACTTCTACAAAGTAAAAATAGACTGATGTGCGCATACTGATGAGGTTTGTTTATAACTTTACTACCTATTGGCTATTAACATCATATAAAATTTATAAAAGGTAACACATTCACACACATACTCTTATTGTATATTTATATTAATATTTTAAACATGAAAATTAATTTTCTGGAAAATATTTACTACCAATTTCTGGGTTAATATTCTAAATCATTATTTGATAAGCTCGTGTAGCTTTTAACTGTTTTTCTTGTATATTTTTTATTTTTATTCATATGTATTTATTCTACACTTCTACCCATTGTTTAAAAAAACAAATATAGTTTTACGAGAGAGCTGAACTTTAAAATAATCTAAATTTTTTACCTACTTATGATAATTACAAGGCAGTAATAATCAGTGCGAATAATTAGTATAATTAGTTAATAACAATTTACGTTGAACAATATGTGAAAAATTAAAAATGTAATGGAATTTTGATATTACGTTTTTATTAGATAGTCATACATCATATTATTATAGTCATTACTTATTTTTATACTCAATATTAAATTTAACTTATGTTAAGAGTTATACTTAACTTGTTATACTTGGTTATTTTTTTATCGATAAACGCTCATAATAATATTAAATTTGCTGTCATTTAAAAAATTAAAAACTTAAAAAATTATAACAAATAAAATATTATATACACATGATATTTTTTTCTAAACCTACTATTTTGTTTTGTTTTTATATAAAAATTATGAAAAAAAAATATTTTTAAAAATGCTATAGATTTTGAAATAATCACAGTTGTTTGATAAAATAATCATCCCATGTAACAATAAAAAAATTATGATTACAAAAGTAATTTTTAGGTATCAAAATTATATTATATAATAATTCAATAAATTACATACTTCTGAACTATTTCAATTAAATTTCTTAATCGTATTAAAAATAATAATAAAGAAGGAATGGATCATCCCACTTAATAATTTTACACTAAATTTTAAAAGATTGATTTCTCTACTATGAGTTTTCAAAACGCATTTTTATAATTATGTCATTACTGATGTAGTGATGTATGTAAAATATAAATATCTGTTTATCAAATTAATAATTATAAATTTAACTAAATTTTCATATCTTTAATTTTTCTAAAATAACAGTAATCTCAGATAGTAACTGATTTTCATTTAATTCGGTCAGATAACACTCATCGATATTCGTTGTCAGTTTTTATTTAAAAATTCTTAGTCGTGTTAATCTTAGCAAAATTTAAACTAGGTTATTGTTAGAATAAAAAAGTAAGTTAGTAACGATTTCTGGAGCTTATCAGTCAAACCAAATAATGCCACCGTGGGCAGAAGCCCACCACCTAAGATTATTCTTATTTGAAACAGTATTCATAATATTATAGTATTTTCTTTTTATTTAAATATAGACCATATTACAATAATAAAATAATCATATAACAATATGTTAGAAATATAGAGTATAGTAATTTAGTACAAACAATAAATTACAAGATCTCGGTGCTCGGTGCATAGTGCATAATATAACTTCGGAACGTTATACAAAAACATTGTTCACTTCTTATCATATCATCGATATAAATGGATATACATTTACATTTTCCTAATTTTCTGATAAATTAGGGATCTAAAAATGTTGGCCATACACTCAGCATATGAAGGCGGTAGGTCATCTTGAGGATAATAAAATTGGAACTATTGTGACTTGTGGAGAGGTTATATTAGTTCTGAAAAATTGTGTTGCAGAAATTCGAATATACGTATTTCCATTATTCGTTTAAATTGCATTTGAAGGATTTGATATTAGAGGTTCTAAACAAAATTAAACCATATAATATTAGACAAATAACTATAAATAATTAATTATAGGTATATTTGTTATTTGTATATATAATATAACAATTAGTTATATAAATTAGAATATTACATAATTGTTGATTCAATCTTTAAATGTTTAAGAAGTTAACTATATTTTTTAAGTAAAAAATAATTAATTAATCATATATATTAAATATTTGTAGAATAAAAAAGGATGTATTTTAATTTTTTTTTTTCTTAAGCTAACTCGTATCCTATACATAATATAATAATTTTAGAATGGTATAAAAAAATTATAATTTAGGTGTTTTGAGATCTAAATGAGAATTTTTTGTGTAAAAATTGTAGTGCATAATTATGAAATAAATCTGTGTACCTGGTATCTCGTAATATTATAAGTAAGTATTAGTCATTAGACACTATGAAATGAAAATAAAACTAATTATTCATGCTCGTTTTATAACACTGCTAAATACACGAAACTATAAGATACATTATTAGAAAATACATCAACGTAATAATTATGTATTCTTCAATAATTGTTAAGGTTAAAAAACAGTTAATTATAATTTATTTTGTTTATGTATTCTCTGTGATAATTTTCTGCTTGATACCTAATTTAAAAAACAAAACATACCTAAATTATATGTTTAAATGTTTGAACATTAAAATGTAATATTAACACACTTTTTAATATATACAAATCTAATGTTTAGATGACTTTCTATAATTAAATATAAATTAATGTCTTTAAAACATATTTTAATATCTCTAATTAAAACAGAAATTATAATTAGACTGCTCTTAAGTCTTTACGTTTATAATTTAATAGGCGCAAACCACAGAAAATAGAAATACTAGATTATCATAATCTACTAAAAAAAAAAATATATATATATATATATATATATAAGGGAAGTAAGGACATTATTATTTCAACATAATTTTTATTGGTGTTTGATATTTAGACTAAACATATAACGAGATATTTATTATTTATTTATTGAGCGAAAACAATTTATCAGCTTATATCACCAACTATCAAGTGATAATGTTGTTTTGATACAGCTATTAAAATCATAAATTTTATTTTTAGTATATTAAAAGATTGATAAAATTTTTTCTAAAAATATTGTATTTATTATATTTTCAATATTTAATTATTATAATTATATATATTTACACCATATAATATCAACTTGTATAACTCATAATGTAATAACATATTTTTATAAATACTGTAAAACAATAAAAATAGATTCATAAAACCTAAAAATAGATAATATTTTAAAATAAATCAAAAATGTTAATGCATATAGTAAAATTCATAATAATATAAAATACATTAAATCTTAAGTTCCCACGAATAATTAAATAATTTGTTTTTAAATTATAACAAAATAATGGAACGTATCGTTATTCGTCGTTTAAATAAGTAGTTTTGTCCAAATTTGAACTTAAAATATCTATAAAAAAAAATTGTCTTTGTTGAAAAAATAAAATTACAAAACTTCAGAACATAAAATATTGAGTTCAGCAAATTTTAAACAAAAATATTGTTCAATTTTAATCAAATTATCGGTTTATAAATGGAAAATGAATAAAATTTAATATTTTTCTAATTCGCTAACCATTTAGATTTTGAACATGATATGCTATTCTTCGTATGAAGGTGGTGGATCAGCAAGTGGAGATCTAGAAAATTACGTTAATGAGACCTGTTGAACAACAAGTAATTCTTACAACAAACTAAAAATATTTCCATACCCTAAATCATTCAAAACCATATTTAATGGTACAGTGAGATCTCTATAGATTAGTAAACAGCCATGGGGAATTAAATAATGACCGCTATAGAAAGTTGTCCACTATTGAGAAAACCTCTAAATAGTGGAAATTTGGGAGAAATTACTAAATGTTCACTATAAGGATACACTATATTGAATTGGTTACACATATACATATATATACATTAAAATTTGTATATATTGAAATATTAATTTATTATTTATTATATATATATATATATATATAATATGTATGTAATAAAAAGTGTGTATAAAAATTTTTATAACATTTTTAACGTAGATTAGGTACGTATTAACACAATTTGTAGCACACAACTGATGACCGAACACATAACTGAATCATTTGTCATTTTTAAAATAGAAAAACCTTTAAGATAAGATAAAATATGAACGAAATGTATGAAAGATAAATGAAGTATTTTTGTTATTTAAACATTTTCAATATGTCTTGTGTCAGTTTATGAGAATTAATTTTTAATTTTTATATCAGTTTTTAGTGTCCACGTCCACTATTAGGGGTATTTACTATTTAGAAGTTATAACTCCTATTATCTGCACATACTTTTGCCGGGGAAATTAAAAGGATCCACTATTAGGAAGTTTTCACTATTGAGAAGTATTCATTAATAGAGGTTTTATAGTATTATTCAACTGTTTTGGTTACTATTGTCACTAGTTAAGTGTTTACCACTACCTATTTTAATTAAATTAAAACCAAAATTTGATACTACACAATCTAAAATGAAATAGTTAATAAATATATAAAAATACTAAAAATTAAGAATAAGTAATTATTGAGTTCGGGTATTTTCAAATTCAATGTGATCATTAATTTTAAAAATATTTTTTTAATAATTATTGCTTGATATCCAAGTACCGTTTGAAAATTTAAAATAGAAAAATGTTATAAAATATTTTGCTTACATCACTAAAAATACTAATAACTAATAAGTATACCTACATTACCATACAGCCGTGTATTTACTTATCATAATAAATTTAGTGAGTATAGATACCAAAAAAAAAAAAAAAAAAAAAAAAAAAACTATAGAGAAGTGAAATTATCACCGTTTACTCTCCACCGCCACCAATACACCACTAGTTATATAATTGTTAGTATAACAAAAATATGTATAAGATAATAAACACAAATAAAACAAGTATTATCTACACTTTGTTCTAAAAGAAAACTATTGTTTTACCTCTTACGCAATTTGAATCATGTAATTAGAACAACAATATCACTTTATCCCTGAGTAAGTAGGTGGTGATGAGCAGCATCCACGAAAATCAGTCGATTAACTAATTATTCAATTTTGAAATAGAGTATAAATTTAAAATTATGAGTATTAATCCAGTATAGTAATTTTATAATGTAATGGCTAAGTATGAACATAAGTAGATAAATCTAGAGAATAAAATATTTATCATGATAGAAATAATAGTTAATCTACTTATCAGTAGAAAATATTTCAATGATTTAACTTCTTCAAGAAAAGTCCTTACTAATTATTTTGTGAGTTATGCGGTTGTCAAAAATTACTAGTTTTTATTCATATTGTTCCTCCACAAACTTTTTTTTTAATACATTAATTATGATTCCCATAACAATATTGTCCTCGTTTACGTTTGTTAAAATTAAACCAGTATTTTTTAAATAAATAGAAAAAAATTCAAAATCTGTTATAATTGAAGTTATGATCTAGAACCTATAGGTATATTTGTTGAGTAATAAAAAAAGTCCTTTAAATGCACAAAACTATCAGTAATAAATAAGGTATATGCTCCAACATTGTAAAATTTATAACTATACATTATACAATTTCATAATAACAAGGTAAAATTAACCTGTTAACGGCAAGAGTTAATTAATTTTACTTATAAGTTATAAATAACAGTATATAAGTATTAAAAAAATACGAGTTATTTAAATAAGTCTTTAATCGGTTTCATTACTTAAATTAGCTAATTTTGCAACATTGTAACCTGTAGATACTCAATTACGAAAAGATTGCACCTATACATTTTCAAAACTGAATCACACATTTGTATAGATCAGTTCTTAATAAATACAAAAAAAGAAACAAAGATCGAAATTTGGAAAGAAATTATTATGTAAAATTTGTATTCGTCTTTATGTGGTCACACCAAAAATACCTACAGAATTAAGAATGTAAATAGTAATGATTACGAATAATAAAAATAATCATTGTAATTGTTTTCATAAGTATTTGAAGATTTGTTTTTTTTTTTTTTATATATATTTATAAGCATATACATACCATATTTTTACTAATTAAAATATTTATATAATCTGTAACCAGTGATAACCATTTGAATAAATAATAGAAATATATTTAATTTTCATACAATAAAACTAAATTCGTGCAACTCTATACAAACTTAGACAGGTTGAAATAATAAACCCCCTCTAGGTCTTGATAAATCAATTTATATGACTGACTTTTGTTGAAAACTATCAAATTATTCTCAAGTTATGGGATCCCAACAGATGCACAGAAGGATTGTATATTTAAAGATAAGAAACATTTAATAACTATAATAATATCTGCAGTTTTAAATTGATTAAATTAATAAATAATAATTATAAAATGTTGTGAAATCTAAAAAGAGTGGTTAGTTACTCATACTTACTAATAATATCTACATTTTATGGTAGATGGTTTGATTTGGTGGCTACTTTCCTCAAATATAACATGTACTATTATAATTGGTTGTTAACAATTGTATTAATATTAATATGTTTAAATACCTTAAATATTTATTCCTGCAACACATTTAGATACTCATTGTTAATAAAATTTTTACCTTATTAAGAATTCACAATAACAACATAGATAAAACTATATAATTAACTTCCTTAGTTCAAGTGATGTGAACGATTATAAACATTAATTCATAATATACGTGTTCAATATATATTTCATTTAACAAAGTAATTAAAATTATCTTATAATTAAGCAATAATAGTATTATTACAAACTATTATATATGATAAAATTTCTCATATTGTTATTATTATTATTGATATACCTATTAACAATAACATAAATAAAAACATTATTTTATAAACAAAAAACTACGATATGTTGTCCGTGATTGGTAAAATGTTTCTTTGCATTGAATTTTTCAGTGTATTTCCATACTGAACTGTAGACGTAACGATATCTTTCATTCGTCCAACTATTCCACCAGAGTTCTGTGATCGAAGCTCTTTTTGATTTTTTTTTACACGAACTGTAACAGTAATAAACTAATTTAAGACAATATAATTAACATACTATAATAATATACACAATATAAAAACATGACAAATCGTAAGTACAGATTACTTCCAAATTCCAAGTTTCAAGTGACAAATTTGAGGGCAAAAGAATTAGTGATTTTTTTATACGTAATCACCAACAAATTTTCTGCACAAAATTCGGAAAACATTGTATAAGATGTCAGGTCTACACATTAGATATTATATAATAACTAAAACGTAAATAATATAATATGCTTAATAAGTTTTATAAATTATAAGCTTCATTTTTTTTGATAATAAACAAATATTTCTATATTTACTAGCACTAGGATAGATAAAAATGCATATCATGTCAAGTAAATAATAATCTTGTTGATGGTATTTTCTTTATTTAAAATAGTTTATTATGTCTTCCTTATTTGTCATAATTTATAAGATTATATCTGTATATTGTAGATTTAAATTAGTAGGAATTAAAATTAAAGCCCAACAAAACTTCAATATGCAATTTTTTATTTATTGACTAAACATTTTTAATTAAGCGTAGGTAGTTCAAGTTTATACATACGAATCTTGGTAAATTTTCTAATGAGTAAAATATAACTTAATTGCATAGCTATAATATCGATTCACTACATTGTACAATGTAAATAAGCCCAGAAGAAATTCTTAAATAATTATCCAACAAAAAACAGAGAGTGGATTTTGTTTTCATTATTGCAAAAACCTATAAGTAATAGTACATATTATTAAAATGAATTAAAATATATGAATATAAAATAATAATATATAATTAAAATAATATAAATATATGAATTAAAATGTATTATTATTATTAATTAATTTCAAATAAAAATAGATACCAACATCAAAATTACTTAAAAGTTACATAAATAAGTTAAATAAATGAAATATATATGAAACAAAAACCACTTACAAATAAAAGGTTAGGTATTATTGTCAATTATACAAGGAGAAAAGTTATTTCATTAGTAGTTAAAGTAGGCACTTAGCAATGTAAAATATGTTATTCACTGATACGTGTATGGTCTATGGATGATATAATATAATTATTCTTAAATATTACTTTTACGGATAAATAAAAAAGTTTAAAAGTTATTGCTGAACTATAATAAATATAAACCTAATGTATCAATAGATGTTCAATTTTATAAAATTAAAACAAAGGAAACAATATAAAACTTACCTAAATACGATATCAATAGATCATTGACTACTTTAGGTTGCTCTTGATGAGGGAAATGCGATGAGTTATCAATTATTCTCACATTAGATGTTTTAAGAAACTCTGTAGACTTAATAAAACTCTCTATTCGCACACTTACATCTTTACTGCCAGTAATGATCAAACACGGAACTTGTAGCATGTCTTCTTCTTTATTTAAAAAATCATTCTTACAGGTATTCCGAGGCTCAATTCTATAGAACGGTAAGTTTCTAAAATAATTTATTGCACCTGTCCAATCCTCTAAATAAATACATACATTTTAATAAGCAAGAGTATCATTAATTTTATTGACAGCAAGATAATTTAAGTGAAATCTAAAATTATCTAAAAATATTGTTATTTTTATTAAATTATCATCACCTGTTCTTGAAAATGTATATTTATATGCATCAATGTAAGATAATTCATCGCTTTGATTAGTTTTAGATAGATGTTGATAACACTTATTTATTATTTTGAGATCACTTTGCAAAGCATCCATTTCTGGTAAATAAGGAAGTTGACTGAAGCAAATCCAACTATAAGAATAAAAACATTGATGTTTAACTACTATTTACATGAAAATCTTTGTCTGTAATAATTTTAGTTTTATAAATACATATACTATCAATCTATTTAATTTTATACATTAGACTTGATGAAATTTTATATCTGCATATTATTATTAATGTTTTTCGAGTTATGATTATCGTATACTTACATCGAACATATCATACCTTTTTTATTATGATACATATATTATCAAAGGTGGGCATTAACTAGTTAAAAATGAAAAGCTAAGTTAAAAGGTTAATTTTTTTTTTTAACTTTTTAACTTAACTAATTAGTTTAATATTTTTATGAACTTATGAACTTAAAGAGTTTAATTGACAATTGAAATAACTTAGCTTTTTGCAGTTGATATTAGAAATTTTTTCAGTAAAATAATGAATTATAAATTATATTGTTTTAATGTCTTATGACCTTCAATAAAATTTCTATATTATATAAAAAATAATATTTGATAAATTATTAATTTGAGATGTGTATAGTTTAAATCAATGACTAAAATATCATGTAACGTAAAAGGGTATTTACACTGTACAATGTGCATTATGATTTATGATAAAAATTAAATAAAATTGTTTTTTATAATATAGTAAATTAGAAAGACATAGGTAGTCATTCTCTATGTTATTTACATACTAATTTAAAAAAAAATAGATTAACTTTTTTTAAACTGAGTTAAATTAATATTTTTTCTACAGTAAATATTAACTTATCGAGTTAAATTTATAATTTGCTAAAGATTAACTTCTAACTTATCGATATTGTGCTCTTTTAACTTAATTAAACTTGAGTTAAATATTTTCATTAATTTTCCCACCTTTGCATATTATATATTAATATTATGGCATATTGAAACAAGCACATACAATGTAATCGTACTATTTATCAATTATTAAGGTATTAATTTAAAGACCTCATTTTCAACAACAATGTTTATTGTTTCATATCAATAAATTTAAAGATTCATCGGACTAATATATATATATATCAATATTTGAATTTATATAACTATATAAATATACAACTTAAATGTACATAGATATATTTTAAACAACAGGATAATTATTTTATCAGTAGACAATTACTGATTTTAGTTATAACTTCCATTTTTTAATTTAATTTTCCTAAAAAAAATATTTATCCAAAAATTAAAATTTATATGTATTTATTAAAATTATCAACAAAATATTTAGCTTTGAAAGTAAGAATCTAAAATGTATAGTGTTTTTGTTCAAAAAATTAAAATATTATGAAATAATAACGATAAAGAGTCGTAAAAATATAATCTGTTTTCAAAAATGTTCATACTTTTTTTGATAGTTAATGGTTATCGTTTTATTTATTATTTATTAAATGTTATGTAAAATGTATAATTTATTATAATATATTAATAGGTAAATACAGTCATAAGTCAGATTGGCAAAATTGAGGGAAAAAAAATCAATTATTCTGTTTGAATATACAATCAATTGGCGATAAAAACAAATATCAAACTAAATAATCGATAATTGAAATTATTTTTCGTATTTTATTGTATACAATGCCTATACGATTCGCGATTGATATGACATTTCTTGTATGTTATCGAATCAACTTACTTTTTGTTAAAGAAACTTGATGGTGGCAAATATTCCCAGTAGACATTGGGATGTGGACATGAAATGGCTACAAATTTCGAAACACAATTTGGCCATAAATGCACCAAATACCAACCCAGTAGAGCGCCCAAGTCGTGGCCGATTACGTGACATTTATTACGGCCGTCTACTCCAAGCATCGATAAAAACATGACTAGCTCGTCAACCAAATTTTCTATTCGATAACTTTTACGTGCTGACGGTTTATCAGAGTCGCCAAAACCTTTAAGGTCCACAGCAATCACACTGAAATACAATAAGTCTGAATTAAAAAATATATATAATTATAGGATTTTATTTTTCATTTTGAACTTATGTAATACATACTTTTTTTTTGGGGGGGGGGCTCTCATATTTTTCTACCTTACTTACACAGTACACATTAAAAAAAATAACTTCTAATTTATGATTTATAATAAATATTACAATTTTTTTTTTTTTAAATAATTAACAAACTTCCATGAACACCACGCCAAACCTTGTTAGAGGCTAAGAATAACATTATTATTTATAAAATAATCGATTTGGACAATAAAATTAACAATAGTTTAATTTTCTCGAGGATACATGAAAGATCGGACGTAATTGCTAAAGAAAAAGTAACAATCAAGATCAATGCTACTCAGAAAAATAAATTTAAGTAAAGACTTTAAAAATATTATCTACAAAAAATTAAAAAATGAGTGCAAAAATGAACAATAAATCAAATGAAATAAAATGAATAACAGAACAATGCACTAATCTTATGTTACTCGACTGAAGAGACAAAATTGTGTTAAAAAGTTTCAAGTTAAGCTAAACACACTACACACAACCCATCTTATAAAAAATCCACCAAGAACATTTCAAATAAACAACTACCTATCTACTCAATACCAATTGAACACATATTTACAGAATGAAGAAACTCATAAGAGTCCTAAGAAAAATACTGCTCACTAAAACAATTTCTTAACGCAAATGATCCCGGCGAAGACACTATTAAAAAAAGTATTGTTATTTATATACCATATTAATTTATATAATTTGGTTTAAGATTAATAAAAGTATGTAGTTTAAGTCATAGGTAAGTGAATACCGCTCTGCTGTACCTACATTAAGTGTTGAGTGGGTCACAATCATAGGTCTATTAAATTTTAAATCAATGATATATCATTGTAATATTTTATACTAAAAACGACTATGAGCGGAAACAATCTATCAATCTACATCACCAAGTGATAATGTTTTTTTGAATAGCTATCAAAGTCATTTATTTTATTTTTAGTACTATAATAGGTTGATATAATTTTTTCCGAAAATATCGTACTTATTATATTTTTAGTATTTAATTATCATAATAATAAATATTCACACCATATAATATCAACTTTTATAACTCATAATGTAATAACATTTTTCAATAAATACTGTAAAACAGTAAAAATAGATACATAAAATCTATAAATAGATAATATTTTAAAATATATGAAAAATGTTAATGCGTACAGTAAAATTTATAATAATATAAAATACATAAAATCTTAAGTTCCTAAGAATAATATTTAAAAATTATGACAAAATAATTAACAAATGAACTATAATATGCTCATAATATTCATTGTTTAAATAATTAGTTTCATCCAAATTTGAACTTCAAATGTTTTTAAAAAATAATTGTCTTTATATATTTTTTTAGATTTTATAGTTTCAGTATAAACTACTTATGAATAATCTCGTATTTAATTTTAAAAACTTAAATACAGAAAAAAAATTGTTATGAATTTTTAACTACAAAATAGTTGGTAATTTCTTGCGATTTTGACAAATATTGTCAAGATTCTAACTTTAAAGGCAAATAAAAAAATTTGTGCCTATATATTTTTAATATTTTTATATAGATATAAGAATATCTTTTATAGGATCATAAAAACTGTTAAAAATTTTTATCTAGCACATAATTTTTAATCGTCACTTATAAAAAAAAAAATTTTAATAATGTAAAATTTCTCATGCCTATCAATAAGTTAAAAGCAGACAAAATATTTTGAAAATTTTATTGTAAATAAAAACAACAATGTAGTCTGCCTTTGAACTTTATTATGCAGAAAACCCTAAAAAAAACCGTTATTATTGTGCTTTCTTAATAATATAAGCTAATTATTTACTAAAACAATTTAATTTAGTAATTACTAATTTATTATAATAATACATTGTAAGCAACTTTTAAAAGAATATAATGTATTGCTAAATAATTATAACTATGTTTAAATTTATTTAAATCAACTGTCATATCGATTTATTATAATTTATAATATAATAATGAACTTTTATATTTGATTGGCCGTTATTGTCCGGCAAAAGTCAAATTTCGATTAGAATTAATCATAAACTTAATTTATATAATTCATTTCATATTCATGTACATTTAAAAAAAAACTTTTAATACTTTATACATAAATATTAATTACAGTAAATTGAAGAAATTACACATATATACATACTACATAGAACATACATAGTATTTGTTTATTAATAAATACATTATTTTTAATAAACAAGTGCTTATCAAGAATACTTTTATATATTAATTATAACTAAATATGTATTACGAATATTTTCTTATCCTATTAATTGGGTATAATTAATCGGAAACGTGTAAGATATCATGGTTAATAAATGACCTTGGTATGAATAGTTTGTACACTATTAAATATAAAACAAACATCTGTATAAGGCATTTATAAATTAATTAAATAATGTATTTATTATAGTTTCCAACTAATAAAACGCACATTTAATAACATAGATTATTCATATTCTATAAGAAACTTAAAAATAATAATAGGTATTAGGTATATATCGTTGTCGATATAGACAATTTTCATGTGTATAAGTCTTGATTAAAAAATGCCACCAGATAATAACATCAATAATAATTAGGTATGTAATACGCTAATATCTAATCGTACAACGTCGTATAAATTTTAAAGTTGGTTAAATTATTCTATCCCTATTATTTAGGTACCAACATCAGATTTTTAAATTATAATTAACGAATAATAGGTTTGTATTGCACATATTATTTATTATGTATTGTATTTTTAGAATACGCCATTGATTTTAACCGTGATTTTTTTATTCAAAAAGATACAAAAATATACACATATTTATGCTATTAGTTTTATTTTATTATTATTAAACTTAAACATACATCATGCGCAGTTCAACTTCTTTCGACCCATAAAACTATCTATGTTCACCATCAATTACTAAAATATTAAATATTCTTAATATTATCACTCAATAATTTTTATCTTAGAAAGTTGGACCACTGAAATTAACGAAAAAATAAAAAATTCAATAGTGTAAAAATAGGCGGTTTTTCTTTAAAAATAAAAAGAATCTGCACATACACGTGCATTAAACTCAAATAATGAAAAACAAATAACACAAACAAACTTCCATGATATCCATTGATAAAAAAAATCATTGCTAAAATCGGGAAACTCATGTCTCATCCACTATAATATGTAATATTGAATGCTTCTAATTATTGTGGACACATTAACTGTATTACAGTATTATGGTATTTACTATTTAGTGTAGCCGTATTAAGTATTATTGCATTATAAGTAAGTGCATAATTTATCAATATTTATAAAAATAAATAAACGTAGTATCTACCAGAAACTTATTAAATACCTAGGTACCTAGGTACCTTATACCTATCACCATTTTTAATATACCTACCTATAATTTCTGAAATTATTTTTTTGTTCTTAACTAGAACGATAATTTAACATTATATTTTTTTGTTATGATATTAAATTAACAATCTGATACATAAATTAGGCTAAAGAGCTGGATGTTCCATGCACAAATCTAGGATAAAAAAGTTAGGCAAAACCAATTAATGAAAACAAACAATTTAAAAAGTCAATGTAATAATATAATTAAAATAATCGTATTATGTAAGAAATAACTGGCAAAAATGTATCAATTATTAATTGCATTAAACCATCAATAAATATTTTAATTAATTTTTCTTGCATGTTTTCCTAAGTTTTTTTTATTTTTTTATTTTGTCTATTGAAAATTGGACTAATTTTGTTTCGTCAGAAGACAACGCTAATCTCATTTTTTAGTTTGTGTCCAAACAGAAGTGTGAATGTCACTTACTAATTTTGAAAAAAACGATAGTTTTGCCTTTCCGTTTAGTTATTGGTTTGATGTCCATTATCAAAGATGATTTGATGGACACTCCACGTTGATGGTGGATAGAGAGGTGATAAAAAAAAAAAAATTAAAATTGGATACATGCAACAAGATATTCTGTATAGCTTATTTAGTGACTTTTTATTCTATGACATTTTTATCTTAATACTATGATGTAATAATATTTCAATAAGAAGTTCATGAACCATGTATGAACTGTAATATATAATATTATGTATATGAGGTCATAAATATTTATTACAAATAGATTGTATCAACTACCAAGAAACGTGCAGAAAGTGATTTTAAAATAAAAATAAACATTTATCTAAGTATAATGATATGGTCAACAATGTTATTGTTTTATTATTAGATTCAAAACAAATAAAGTAAAATTTATAAGCACATGCCTTATTCTAATTTTGTGTAAATAAAAATAGAATACATAATAATAATAATATTATCTATGTACATTGTACATATTGTACATGTTTCCTCATTATGAATATCATGTCCAAAAATCAAATTAAACTAAAAAATAATCTATCAATTTAATATAGGTAATTTCGAAAATCTGCATTACATGTTACCTATTAGGTAATTATATACTGATATATATATATATATATATTACATTTGTCATTTAGTTTGATTTTACTAAACTTATTATTATAATAAGGTTGAGACATACCTAATAGGTATTTAAAAAATATTCTTTTTGTATATTGAAGATTCTGAATATAATATTATTCCCTATAAGTTAATAGGAATAATTAAATTATTCAATAAATTTAATAAAATTTCTAATAAAAAAAAAAAAACTAAAATAAGAATCTACTATATTTAATTGTTATCTTCGAACACATGAACAATAGATTAAATAAATAATACAATATTATAAAAAAATAACAACAAAAATATAATCTAGACGATGATTTATCAAAATAAACTAATTTATCATATTTTTTGAGAGTTATAACATACACTTTTTTGCATATTTGGTTGAATTGTAAAACATGTAGGTAGGTATTTAAGTTATTTATTCATATTTTTTTTTTAAACTCACAGCCTTAGTAAAATAATAGTAATGATTATTATATAACCATAAACAGTAATTTTAAAAAATGAAGTAAACTTACCGAAAATGTTTTGACAAAGTAGGTATTTGATGATGCCAACTAATCCAACAAGATGGGAATCCGTGTAGTAAAAGGACGACTATACCTTTAGGGTCTCCACATTCAACATAATGTAATTTGACACCCTTAATAAAAAATAAAAGTCGTTAATCGTTTATTATTTAAAATTTGAATTATAAGTATACTTTATAAAAATACTTCATAATTTATATATTTGACTTATTTGAGTGTTTGAAATTAATTAAAATAATATTTTTAGAAAAGGCAAAATGTAATTTAAAATTATTAAATTTAATTATTGAATTTACATAAAATATGTCAAAACGTTAATTAACAAAAAGACTAGGTATTATTTTTTAAATTTTAATAGTGTATATGTATAAAATATTATATCTTTTTAAGAAAAATAAGTATTGATTATAAGATGGCTATTTTAATTTTCACCCAAACGTGGATAAATTAAATAAACTGGCTATGTACTTATCTCTTAAAGAAATAAAACTCAATATGATATGTTCCTCCGAAGTTTTTCTTACAGCAATTATAAAAAAATGTACAAAAAACACGTGTATTATTTATTTATTTATTTTTGTTTATAGCGTTTTGTGTTTAGATTGTCAGTATCTTACTATGTTACCTATTATAAATCGTTTTTAAAATACCTTCTATGTGATTAAAAATGTATAAAATGACGCCAGCTATTGATTAAAAAACATTCTATATAAGCTTAAACAAAACATAAACTATAAAAAATAATAGAACCTCCAACAATGTGAAAAAAACATTAACAATTTAATATCTATACAATATTTCCATAACTATTGAATTTGACTGGAATCGTTTTCAATATCAAATGATTTGATAACGTTAAGAATTTAAAATCTGTTTTCACAGTAGGTACATTGACAACTCTTTTTTTTCTAATGTTTATTACGTGCCCTGAAAAATTGGTTTTAGTGCGTAAGAGGTTTTTCGTGTCACTACGCTGCTGTGTATCTATGATAGATAATAGGTACGTTTTGGACATCATTATTCGTATAGACGAAAAAAATATCACAATTAATTTTTATTGAAAACTAAACTACCTCCCCCCCCACCTCCGATTTTTATCAACCAATATATAGGTTACGAATCTACATATATATACGTATATGGGAATTATAGAATTGCATATTACTATATGTAACCTTGACTTTGACGTACGAGTGGATACCGTAAACCGCGTTGAACAGACACGGTGGCGGACGATCTCTGAGCGCCCGGCGGATGACTTTGCCACCGACCGCAGTGGTGACAGCGCCGTCATCGACGGCCGCGTGTCTATGGATTCCGTGGCCGCCGTCCAACCACAGCGGCCGGACGGCTAGAGCGATTGCGTTCTTGACGACGATCCACGAACCCCAGACCACGGAGAGAGAGAACATTTTCAGGGACTCTACCACCGATATAGACACCACGTGGTCGCGGCCACCGACCAACACGGCCATCGCGGTGGACTCGAGTGGCCGCCCCGAGTATATTGTTGCTGTCCCAACGACGGTTTTGTATGGGTATGGGCATAATATCACCGGAAATGCATATCTGTCGGTGCACAAATCGCGCGGCGAAGACGTAAAACTATGAGACCATTTATTAGGACCAAACCGATAATGACGGACATCTCTAATGTGACATTGGTATGGACGAAGGCGTACGGTTGAACACGGCACAATACGAGTACAACGGATATCGAACGAAATAAATAATGTTATAATTGTTTACGTTAATATTATTATTGAATGTTATTGCTGACGCGGCAATACAACGACACGCCGACACGACCGAATTACGTGTGGTTATAAGAAGAAAGAAAAACAACGATCGCACAATGTAGCCGCGTGTCGTCGACTGACTGAACGGTGTACCGACTACCGGTGGTTACCGTACCCGCAGACGATACCGACGGCGAGTAGACCCAATGCTGGTTCAGCACTTTGGTCTCGGGCGCGCCGCGTGTGTGCGTGAACGAGTGCTCGAGATAACGGTGAACTAGGTGAAACCTGAGGGACCTATGCGCAGCGATTACGCTGTAAATTTTTTTTTTTTTTACAAAACGGGCTAATTATAGAATTTATAATGATTAAAAAAATTGGCAGTATAGTATAATTGAAAAAAAAAACAGGGCTTGTAAACGTTATATTTGACAAAAACCGATTGAAATTTATAAACGTACCTAATTATAACGAAAAACGATAAACGTAAATAATTAAATAACACGAAACGAAATTTAACGCTGAACGTTATATAATAGTATATCATTAAAAAAAAAATAATTAATTTCATTCAATAGTTATTAATTAGGTATAAAATATATTAAAAAATTTAATTCTGAATAACAATAGATGCAAAAGTTGAATAACGTTTTAATTTTAAATGACGTATAACAAATTTTTTCTTCAAATGTAAGCCCTGAAAAAAAAAACAATAATATAAAATAATAAAATAATATAATAAGTATATAATATTGATTCAACGAATAAAATATATAAAAGGGGTTGACAATTAAATGGTTATAAAAAGTAGACACCATCAATCGTATGAGTTGATTTTTCTTTGAATAAAATTAGAGTTAAAAATTAGAGTTTTATCTTCACAGAAAAACGGAAATGAACACAGTACAATTTAGAAGCATTATCACAGTAGAGCTCTTAGTTATTTTTTTCTAGAAAGGATAGATTAGCCTAAGTTTTTTTATCTAATAATAAAATAAGATTTAAGTAGTGGAATACAGACGAATAATCATAGAACGTACAATGAAAATTAAATTTTATTTATTGCCTGGTATAGTATAGTGTTGTTAATAAAAAAAATACAAAAATATTATTAGTTTAAATATAATGGCGAAACAAAAGCAGTATTTATTATACTGAAATACAAAACAAAAATATTTTTAAGATATTTAATACACATTTTTTAAAAATTACTTAAATACAAGTATTTGAATACTTAACAATGTTAGTTAAATTTGTTATTTATGATAATAAATCACTATAAATGAAAAGATGAATTAATATATTTCACTTAAAAAATAAAACCAATAGTACCTATAAAAAATTATGCCTTTGTATTTTACGAGTAAATATATTTTATAAATTGCTGTATATGTAAGATATTTCTCATAAAATTTTATTTTCAAGCTTCAACCCAACAAAGCTGTTACTAACATATTATAACGAAAAAATTTTAAAAATTATTGAATGTTATTAAATGTTAAGACTTAAGAACGCCTGCACAATTACATGTGTTGTCTCCGTTTTACAAACTTGCCTATAGAAATATTTGAATCTTGAGTAATAAATTTACAATATAATATTATAGTAACTTTATTGTATGTTTGTATATTATATCATAACACAGAAATCCAAAAATCCAAAAATTCACTAATAACAGAACCTAAATGTTATTTTTTAATAATTTAATACATTTATGAGTTTTATCACTTAAATAAATTATAATTAAAGATGATCAAAAGAATTATAAAAAAATAGGGTACCTTTAATCAAATTTCATTTAATTAATTAAGACACGTAATTGTATAATAAAAATTAAAAAGTGTAAAAATTGTTGACATAGAGGAAATTGCATATAAAATAGATATGTATATAACCTCCTTAGAAAAAAATAGACCGGCTACTAAACTTTATTGTAGTTTGTACGTTGTCGAGGAGATATTCACTACAATTTTTATACGTTCGTATGGTTGCAAATAAAACACGACATTTTTATTATCAGTATTAGTTTAGATTTCCTATCATCCATTCTCTTGTTTAAAACAAATTTTTTATACCAATTAACAACGATAAATAATAGTTCAATAATTACATCATCCATTTTTTACAAAAAAGCGATTTTAAAACAGTCAAGTGTATTTTAATTTTAAAATTAACAATTAACAGCACTCTATTAAACGTGGAATAACGACAACAAATGCCATAAATATACTTTTAGAAGACTTTGATCAGCGGTAACATTTATAACACTATTAAAAAATAATAAACCAAATTCAGAGTAGAGTAATACATTTATAAAAGTATATACATTATTTTTATTGGTGTTACAAATTACAATAATGTGAGTTCTTTAATATACTTTTTTAATTTTTGTATCAAGAAAACTCAAAAACAAATAATTATAAATACTCGAATATTTTGCCAAATATTTATATTACCATTTTCAAAACAAAATAAAATCATCAAAATATTTTTGATTTTTAGAAGCTATTTATAAACAATTTAAGTGTTTTAACTTTTTTTAGTTTTTTTCTTCGATTATACATAGTTAGTAAGTAATATAAGTAATAATATTTTATAATAAAAAAGCTTAAAAATTCAACACAAGATTCTTATAAGTTGAAAGTTAGGTTCTTACAACAGTAAAAATTATTGAAAATATATAAAGTCATATTTTTTTAAGCGTTGTTATAAGTTTAAATTTTTAACGAAATTGTATACTTTTTTAACGAAAATTAATTATTATCTATAGTTATTTAATGTTAAAAAAATTAAATACATAAAATATTATTCGTTGTGACTTGAAGCTTTTCGTTACTATGCATATTATTAATTGTTTATTAACATTTATTTCTGTGTATGAATACAATAACGTCTTTCACTTTTTTTTCAATAAATTTAGATTAGTTTTTAATTAATAGCTATTATTCCACAAATCTAATTAAATCGTTTTACGTATACATCGGTATTGACTTAATTTTATAACAACTTTACTATATTTACCTATATTATATTAAATGATACTTTAATTGTTATAAATAATAAAGGTTATTTGTTTTTTACAATAAATACTTCAACCTACCGCGTATTACTATTAGAAAAATAAATTACAGCATACGATTTTCCCGGTTTTATTTTTTGCATTTTCATTTTATGTATCTATAATCGGTTCTCCCCCGGTGGGATCCACCTTGTCGTGGTGGGGGAGCTTGCAAATTCAAATATTAGATATTTGAGTCTCACCAAGAGGTCCTGAGCCAGCCCTTACTTTCACTAGTTGGAGCTGGTAAGGTTGGAGGGACCCTTTTAACTATTAGTAAATCCCTCCAAACACAAACAATTATTACACGATGAAAAAAACAAAACATAACAAAATATAATTACAGAGAATTCGGATATCTCGGCCCCGGCAATTGGGAGCATGTGGTGCGCCCTAGGGTCGGTACGACCACAATGTAGCACCACCGGTAATGCGCGAATGAACATGGAAAATAGCTCATACAATGGAGATAAAACGACAACAGAATTTACAACGAACGGACCATTGGTAGTGGAAAGTAGTGGATTTAATCAGCTATTTGAAGAAATACGCTTGGCTGTGATACAATCAAACTACTTAACGCCGATTCACGATAGATCGTCTATGACACGTGATTCGGACGATTATTCTTCAGGCGACGACAACGACGATAAAGACGACCGGTCGCCGGGTGTGCGTCAATCGATAAAGCCGCACTTAGCAGAAGTTCGATTTAATACTGCAGCAAAAATAGTCGCTGTACGAACTCAATATATTCGTAAGCAAAGCCTAGACATGTCGAGTTCGAAATCGCAGTTGGTGCTAATGAGAACATTAGGTTCAGAGCGGCCGTTGCAATCAGATTCAGATTTGAATGCATCGTTAGACTCGAATTTGAAATCGACATCTCACTCGGGGCCAAAGTGGTGGTCAACGAACGATGAGCAATTGAAACCGTCAGTTTTAAAGCAGACATGGTCTTCGAGTTCTGACTCAATGTCAAGCTCAGGCCTACCATCAGGTTTAGTGCGGACATGGCTATCAAATTCAAACCTAAGATCGACATCACACTCCCAGTCACTATGGTCAAGCGACGATGAACAATCGAAAAAGTCAAATTTATTGCAGTCTTGGGTCTCGGATTCAAAACAAATCGACATCAAGCTCCGCGATTCATTATGGCCAAGCGATTATGATGAATTGGTACCATCAGATTTTATTCGGACATGGTGGACAGAGTTAGATCTAAGCTCATTACCGAATTCGATACCAACGTGGTCGACGGACGATAAGCGATTGGGCTCGTCGGCCTTAAAGGATATGTGGCAATCGGACTCGGACCTGAGGTCGACAATGGATAAAGAGCGATTCAAACTATCAGACTCTGAGCTAATAAGATCTTCTTTGCGCTCGTTAATGATAACCACATCGGATGAAAATCAAGTGATGTCGATTTGGGAAGAAATAAACGGAGTAAGTATCAACGGAGAAGAAGTGATGGAAATCGAGAACGAAGCCGTAGAAACTGAGGACAATACGGTGGAAATATCAGTACAACCACCAATACCTAAACGTAAATCTTTTCTCTCGGCACTTGGGAGGAGAATACTGAATGTCGGCAGAAAGCTATGTTGTTGCGGTGGTGGTGGCCACAAGCGTAAATTATGTGCAGATGGCTCCATCTAAATAGAAATATATAGTGTCAAAGTGCCGCGTGAAAAGCACTACGCATGGTATGTGACATTCTACTCTAAAAATTAATTCATAAATATACAGTAAATATAGTAGGTAAATATCTGTTTGAAAAAAAATAAATAATTAATAATAATTTAACCATTAATACATATATATATAATAAAGTAGTTATTCCCCATTTATTTAAAGTTAAAATAAAAATATTAACTGTTTATACGTATTATACAATTAATGTGATGAATTTTGATATTATTGAATTGATTTATGATTTAGAAACATGTCACTCGCTTTCATAAAGCTTTTATATACATACCAACGCATATAGTTAACACATACATAATAATGTTATGTTTATTAATTTATGTACAAAATATTATATAGTACCTACAATCTAATTGTCTAAATAAATAAAAAATCCACCAATAATAAAATTTTATAAAAATTATATTTTTTTATATGGAAGTGTTAATAAATTGTAGATCGTATGTAGAAAATATTTGAGAATCGCAGATTTTGTTTACCTAACCAAAAATAACATTACGTACTAAATAATAGTAAATATAAAATATAACTCAAATTTCTACAGATAATATTCGTATTGCAATTATATAATTATATACATTTTTTTCACCTAAAACTTAAAACTTAATACCACAAATCTTGAAAATTATGTTGTACAATGTTTAAAATAAATAATATTTATGAATTATTTGTTTAATCATATAAATGTCCAAACAGGTACACCCTGGAAAAACGTCGTAAAAGTCACCAATGAAATTCGCTGCTCAATATAAATACATGTGAATATGTGATATCATCATATTATTTAAAAACTATATAAATTATATATTATATTGCATACTGAAGAATCCTTCATACATGATTTTATTTTTATTTATGTTTTTTATTTTGATCTACAATTCAAGTTCATTGGTATTTCCATAAATTGTTCTTTTTTTTCTAATGAACTGATTTTTTTAACTGAATTATTTTACAATTTTTATAATTGGCTCTTTTTTTTTTTTTTGATTTTATACTATTCATATATTGTTAATAATTATGTTTATTTTTTCACTTCATTACCAATTTTATTAGTTTTTTTTTTTAATATTATAAATGTGATTTATTGTTTAACATGTTTTTTGAAATGTAAATAATTTTTATGACCAAAATTTTTTTTAACTATTTCATATTATTATATTTGTTTGTATTTTCAAATGCAGTAATAACTATAAATTTTTTTGCAATTTTTCATATGATTATATTATTACAATTGATCCTTATAAACATGTGTACCTATAATCTTTATGATCAGTATTATTTTATTTTCTAATTTTTTCATGTTATAATATATATTTTTATATTTTTGCACATTGTGGTGTAGTTATATATAGCTATAAACTTTTTGGAAATTCATATTTTTATCATTATTTTTTTTTTTCATGCATTTTTTGTATCTTTTATACATTGTTGTATTATTTTAATATCTTTTTTGTCATGTTATTATTTATTTTTGTAATATTTTGTGTGTGTTTTTTTTTTTATATATATTTCACAGATACTACTTTGTTATAATATTATAAATTATTAATTCAATAAAAACGTCATTTTCGACAGAAATTTAGTTAATTTTTTTAAATCAATTATAACGTATACTCGTATAGTATTATTTAAGTACCTACACATCTTTAGGTACGATCATACACTTATAAAATTATGTATATTTATATACATTTATTGTTTGCCTTAAATATCGACGGAGTTCTGAGTGTTTTGGGAATACAAAATAGAACATAATTAACTAAAACAGGTAGGAACCAGGTACTTAGTGCAATTTATGTTTATTTTTGTTTTTTTTAAACGCTGTTATAAATAATAATCATATACTGCAATATACAATACAATTTCTAAGAATGTATATTATTATAAAATTAATTAATTTACAGATTTTATGACAAAATTAATTTAAAAAAAAAACATTTGTCCACTCTGTATTTACAATTTATTACAAACCTTTGAAGTTTGAAGCTTATTCGCAGGTTGCACACGGTTATATTATAATTTATATCAATTTAAATTTAGCTCATTAATAATTTACAATATTAGCACTGTAGATAAAAATAATTAAGTTCCTTGGTATACACATGATATGATTGATATGAACGATTTTATCTCCCGCATCTTATTAAAATATAGATAAATGCATAATATGCGTGTACACTGTAACACTGTAACACTCTAACACTGTACCTACCATTTGAAATGATTTTATTTGTAAACAATAAGTAAATATAATAAATGTAATACATAATAGCATTGCTCTTGTTGTTATTATTATTTTAATACAATAAATACATTTACATCAATATGGACATTGTTGTTTTGAATGCAAGACGATTAGTTCTGCAATGATGTCATTACTGTGGTTGGTAATATGTTTCTCTTTTGCACTGAATCTTTCAATGTATTACCATACTGAACAGTAGACGAAACAATATCTCTCATTCGTCCAACTATACCACCAAAGTTCTGTGATGAAAGCTCTTTTTGAATTACTTTTACACGAACTACGACAAAAATACATTAATTTTAAACAATTGCGCAAATATAATACATAAAATATGCACATAGGTATATACTTTACTAAGTTATAATTTATTAAACAATAACTAAATCATAAAGTTATAATTGGTAATTTTAATAAATACCATTCCCCAGAATTATTTTCGATAATTTGTGAATCGGTCGTAGGGTAGATGGTAACAAGTAATCTGTGGTACATGTTCATAATTTAACAATAAAAGGAAATTTAAAAAATGTATAGGTAGCAATAAATGACGAGTTTTCCTTACGACATGTCTTACGCCTGCATTTTTTCACTAGAATATATTTATTGACCGATGCCAGAAGATAAGTCATAGATATTATTCTACTAAGATAAAAATGATATAGGTAGGTACAACAAGTCTAAGAAGTTGCGGTTATTTGTATTTTTTTATGATTATTATTATCTTTTCTTTCTTTGCCATTTTAGCAATGAAAAAAAATTAATAATTTGTAATATAAAGATTGGATATTAGTTTTATTTCTATATAATATAATTTAAATAGTATAGGCCTATACTACCTATATATATCCATTATCTCGAAAGTATTGAAAAAAAATATTAATAAATTTAAATAAAAACAATATTAGCACTTAAATTCAATTATGATGATAACATATAAATATTAAGTAAGCTATCAATATAATATATATTATATATATATATATTTAGAATATGTAACTATAAAAATATTCAATGATTTACCTAACCTTATTGACACCAACAAGATTATAGAAATTTATGACCTTATATAATTTAATTTCGTAGGTATTATAATAATATATAGTACCAACGAATCAAATAATTATTTTTAGATCTATGGTATTATACCTATATACTGTACTACTGTAAGTATCTAAAAAAAAAATATTAGTAATTTACAATTAAACAGATATTATTTGTAGAACCCTGATAACTGCAGTCTATTATAATATAATGTACTAGGTAGGTATTAGAAAAGGCATATTAGTGTATAAATGGAAAAAAATTATTTTTCATAAATATTCATAAGTGAAATTTAGTGTTTGCATTGCCAGTAATAGCATACATATAATATACCTATATTACATTATTATTTATAATTTTTTTGATAAAACAAACTAAAATCACTTGGTGTAATATTATGATATAAATTATAGTACCTAATTTTAAAGACCATACTTGCATAATACTCGTAGATTTTCATGTTCCCAACCAATATCTAAATGTTAGGTATAACTATATATGTATATTTATTATAAATTTATAAATTCATGATCATAATAATTTGAATAATGTGTTAATAAACAAAATATTTAAACAGAGATACTACACTATATTATATCTGTATAACTGTAAGATATAATTATTTAACAACTTACTTAAGTATGATATTAATAGATCATTGACTACTTTAGGTTGCTCTTGATGGGGAAAGTGCGATGCGTTATCAATTATTCTCACAGTAGATGTTTTAAGAAACTCAGTAGATTTGATAAAACTCTCCATTCGCACACTTACATCTTTACTGCCAGTGATAAGCAAACACGGAACTTGTAGCATGTCTTCTTCTTTATTTAAAGAATCATTCCTACAGGTATTCCGAGGCTCAATTCTGTAGAACGGTAAGTTTCTAAAATAATTTATTGCACCTGTCCAATCCTCTAAACAAACATAATATACATTTTAATAAACAAGAGTAATATTAATTTTATTAAATTACTCATATGATCACCTGTTCTTGAAAATGTATATTTATATGCATCGATGTAAGATAAGTCATCGCTTTGATTAGTTTTAGATAGGTGTTGATAACACTGATTTATTATTTTGAGATCATTTTGCAAAGCATCCATTTCTGGTAAATAAGGAAGCTGACTGAAGCAAATCCAACTATAAGAATAAAAATTAATTTCTGGATTAAAAGATCTCTATTCTAAACGTTGAGGTTTTATATAGTTATATCTAATTATTAATTACTATTACACAAAAACCAAGCTCTATAGTGAGAACATTTTTATTTTATCTTTATTAGATTTTAGTGATCCTAAATTTCTAACTAAAAACTTATTTAATTTTATACTTTACATTCTACTTGACGAAAAATACCTACTTAGTTTCTATATGTTGTACTCGTATCAATCAAGCACGTTATATTATAATGCATTTAATATTTGATTAAACTGTTAAATTGAAACAAGCTCAAAATTGTGTACGTTTAATTGAATTGTTATTATCAATTTAAACCATTATTTTCACAGGACTATACTTTCAATATTGTTCTATTATAACTACTTGAAATTCGAAATTCTCAAGACTAAAGGATATATTATATTTAAATATTTAAATATTAAATCAATAAAGCATAATTTTCAACTGTTACCTATATATATATAATTGAATATACCTACTACCATTCAAGTATATTGAAAACAGTAAGATGATTCTTTTAACAGCCAACAATTATTAACAATTTTGAAACAAATTGTATATTTTAATATTTCTTATCATTATTATTTTGTAATTTTTTGAATAATTATATGTATTCATTTTTAAATTAAATTTCCGAGGTAATACGTTTTCCTAAGAATTTTTATGTATAAAAATCGAATTTCAAACAATGAGTAATTATTTATTTGAGACAACCAATGATTAATTTTAAGAATTGTGAATTATAATTTATTATAAAAGGTTAAAAAAATAATGTGAAATATAATGAAATGAAATAAACATAAAATCATTTTTTTATTAAGAGATAGAATGTATCCAATAAAAATCGTAATAATAAAAAAAAAAAACAAACAAATAATGAACTTCATAGTCGTTAATCAAGCATATAAATCAAACTCTGTATACGCTACCTAGTATAATCTTTTTTAAATTGTTCTCTTACATTAGATTTTTTTACATTTTATTGTACATAATAATTGGTTACCTATACTACTCACGAATGATGTAATAATTCTGGTCTTATCAGATCAACTTACTTTTTGTTAAAAAAACTTGACGAAGGTAAGTACTCCCAGTGAACATTTGGATGTGGACATGAAATCGCTACAAATTTTGAAACACAGTTTGGCCATAGATGTACCAGATACCAACCCAATAGAGCGCCCAAGTCGTGACCAATCACGTGGCATTTATTACAGTCGTCCACTCCCAGCATTGACAAAAACACAGCTAGCTCGTTGACCAGATTTTCTACTCGATAACTCTTGCGTGCTGACGGTTTATCAGAGTCACCAAAACCTTTTAAATCTACGGCTATCACACTGAAACACAATAACTCTGAATTACAAAATGTATATAATTATTAGTATTTACTGAATTTAGCACCATCTTTCATTTTAAATTTTAATCACTATATCCTAATTTTCAATAATAGACACAAATGTTTAACTTATTACACAATATAATATATAAAAATAAATATCGTAATAGTTATATCTATAGTTTTTAGCTGAATTAATTTTACCAATCTATCTATTCTTTTGATTAATCCTTCAAATCCTTCAAGACTAGGTACAAATAATTTCATAAATTAATTTTAGTAACATATAAAATAACATAAGTAATTTCTTAAAAGAATATATCATGTTATTAATATTAGAAAATAATGAACTAAGTATGCTTAAATTTATTGAAATCAACTGTCATATTGATTTATTAGGTATTTCTACAACATATACCATTAACCGGTAGTTGTGCAAAGGCACTTTTGAATCTTTTGATTACCTAGTATTAAATTATAAACCTAAATCATATTATTGATACACCTACATCTCAAAAAGGACTTTCAAGATTTTATATTTTAACACATATCAGTTATATACTAAATTGAACACATTCAATAAAATAAACAGATTAAACTCTCTTTAATAAACATATTTTCATCAAGAATTAGTACCTCACAATAGATACCTAAATCATTAGACAACTGACAAGATATATAATTATATTTTAATGAAATATTGTCATTCACCTATTTATAGTTAACGAGAAAACGTGTTAGATGTTATAGTTTATAAATGACTTTTAAATATGCAATTGTTTGTACGCAATCAAAATATTTTTTTTAAACATCTAAAGTGTTTTTATGATTTTACAAATTAAATTTTAATTAAAGCTATTAAATAATCTATATATAGTTACCTACTAAATAATAAGATATATATAGCGCGTCGCCTTTTATAAGAGTGTACAGATTACAACTTCAATAGATAAAACAGCAACAAGCAATATGATTAACTACTGTCGAACGTCGATGTGTACTAAAAGTCATGTTTAAAAAATACCTTTAGACAATAATTATTTACTAGTTACTTACCGAAAATGTTTCGACAAGGTGGGAATTTGATGATGCCAACTTATCCAACATGATGGAAATCCATGCAGTAAAAGAACAATCATACCTTTGGGGTCGCCACATTCAACGTAATGAAATTTTACGCCCTAATTTAAAAAAAAAAAAACAATAGTCATTAACCGTGGACTGAATTATACGTATACCTTGTAGTTTAATTTAAAGACATTGTGAAGTAAAAAATATCTGAAATAATTTCAAAAATAATATTTTTGAACAAAATTATCGAGAATGATTTTTTAATATTTTTAATTTTAAATTTCGGAATAATGATAAATAAATCAATAAGTACCTACTTGAATAACGTGTGTGTGTGTGTATGTGTGTGTGTGTGTGTAGTGATAAAAAAAAATATATAAATATATACAGTAGATTCTTAATATGTCGAACGTCGCTATCTCGAATTTTTCGTTATCTCGAACTACTTTGAATTCCCCTTGAAACTACTATTACACTTAATAGTGTTTTGCTCTCGATAACTCGATATAAAATTAATCGTTTTTCGTTATCTCGAGTTCACAAATAATATTTTTGTTACGGTTAACATAGGAATTGTGCAGTACATTGCATACATTGTGCAAGCAGTGCAGTATAGCGATTGTGATTTAGCGCGTTGGTAGTCACTGGTAGCTTTTTCTGCATTAAATAATTTGGAAGACGTCGTGGCAGAAAGAAGTAATATGAAGCAAACCTTAATGACAGATTTTTTTAAAGAAAAAATAATTTATTCAGTCATTTCAGTATTTTAATTATTCAAATTTTAGTCTATTTTAGTCATTCGTATTATTTATTATTCATATACATTATACAACATACATTTATACATACATATTAGTTTTTTTATTTTTTAATAAAACTCGATATCTCGAAGTTTTCGATATCTCGAACTTTTTTCTGTTCCCTTTGAGATTCGACATAACGAGAATCTACTGTATATTCATTTTATATAATAATATATTATAATATATTTAATTTTGAAGATTGATCAATAGTATGATAAGCTTATAAGGTATAGTAGCAGATGTATTAACTACAATTGTACGTGTACCAACGTTATCAGTCAAATTTTATATATTATACCCGTTTACTTAAAAAAAATAATGTATTTTCGGAACTGTATATACATTTAAATGAAATATCAATAATGGAACGTGCTTACTACTTTCTTAGGATTATTATTGTATAAATACACTGTAAAAACATTTTAATAAAACAGGGATTTTTATAATTTTAATTAATTACCATTAGGTTATTGTTTATTATATGTAATAGTATTGATTATAGAATAATATAATATAATATAATATTATAGAATACTATAATCAATGGTAATAGCCAATAAGAAATTAATTTTAAATAATACCGATAATACATTTGCACCATTTTAAATTCACTGAATGCTCTCAATAGTCTCAACATATAAATATTATATTTTATTACAATAATAATATAAATTAATATGTAAATATTTGAATGATATAAGCATATGAAAAACTATACGACATCGATGGTTGATTAGATATTGTGATAACAAGACATCAATATAAAATGTATAAAATATACAATATTCTATTATTGAAATCGGCCTCATTCAAAGTCTTACCTATTTTGTCGAATGTTTGAACAACAAAATAAGGTTTCCAGCGCTATAGTTACAAATTCTGAAGTAATACAACTTTTATTTTGAAATTTTTAGGGCATCTTTTAAACTGAATAAATTTTTTTTTCTATTTAAGAATAGAATATGTATATTGTATAATAAGAAGGAATAAAATTAAGTAAATATTTATCGTGAACTATACCATAAAAAAAAAAATAATATAGATGTTGTTTATTTTGCTTCGTTATAGGTATTAGTTTTATTACGTATACATACTTATACCTATGTAATAAACTAAAGTTAATGTACCGGACAAAAACAACAGCGATTGCACAACGATATGACAACAAACAAGCGAAATTTCCATCACGTGAAGGCAAATACGTGTGTAATGTCTACTAAATAGATATATCTACTAATATATAGATCATATTATTTACGACTTCAATATTTCACCATAATAATGCCTAATGATACACATTTAAATTTTAAAAAATACGAATATTTGTCAAATCATTTTTATTTAACACTAAAACTGTAATACCCGACTTCGTCCAGACCAATTTATCAATCATCTATCATTTTTCATTTTGATTCAGATAACACACTATATATATTACAAACACTATTACAGCGGTTAATTTAATGATTTTCTAATTAGTTTTTATGTAAATACAAACAAACGGAGACAAATTCAACGAATGCTTAAAAATCGACCTAAATATTCATTGTCGTTAAGTATGGTATTCATACATGAATAATGAATACATATAACCAAAATTAAGAAAGCGAATCATAAAACTTTTTGGGGCCCACATGATAAACTCGTGTTAATGGACCACACGTGTACTGTATGTTATATTATTATGTAATATTTTGTAAACAAATAATAATAATAATTGGAGTAATCATTGATTTTTATGATCCTGAACTAAATGCATGCGCTACTCTCGGCGACTCGTGTGAACACTGAACAACGGTTAACGATCTATCCTAAGCGGTGGAGTGGCTGAATTTAAACAACGAGCTACGTACACTGTACAGTATACACTCTCAGAGTCTCGAGGAATCTATTGCTATGGCTTGTATTGAAAATGCTCCAATAGTTTTTGAGTCTGTAGAAGACAAGTATAAACAAAGATACATTCGTTTTTACGCGTATACGATATAGGTAGTGCGGTACGTGTTATAGAGCAGGTATGTCAAGCTCAAAGTATCAGGTGGGCCAAATATATTGAAAAGTTTACTATTTGGGCCGCACATAAAAATTTACCGAAAAAATAAATATTTCGTACAAATTATCAATCTTTGTTCTATAATCTATATAGATATAAATACAGAAAAGAAAACAATCAAACACACGTTTACATCTCCTACGTCCATTATTGTCTCCTTCAATGAGTTTAAAAAACAAAATATTAATATATAAGACGATTATTACCCCCCTCTGGTCATATGGTATCCAAATCTGGGGCCAAGCCAAACCATCCAATATAAGACCCATTCAAGCTTTCCAATCTATATGTCTCAGACAAATAACTGGAGCCCCATGGTATATGACCAACGACGCATTATATAAAGATCTCCAAATCCCAACAGTCAACGATATAGCAACTCATCATTACAAAAAATTTCACTCCAAACTGCACTCGAACCAAAACCCCCTAATTTCCCGCATGTCCTCTATAACTATCCCTAACAATCCTCCGAGGAGGTTAAAAAGAAAATGGCCAAGAGACGCTCTTGCCTAACGGTCTCATTATGATATGAACCCATCAAATTAAATAGGAGGTAATACTGTTGATGGACGGTTTTCCCCCCTCAAGATATCCAAGACATTCAATCATTACTATTCACTGTTATCAAATTTACTTATTGTACAAAATGTATAGATTGTAAATATGCTTAAATAAATAAATAAAAAAAAAGAAAAAAGATATAAATATACGTATATAAAACCATCAATAATCCTTATACGGTTATGGTTTATCAGAAGATAAGACAGTATAATAATGTATACCAAATAAACCACTCTCTAAGAATCTAAAATAGTCGTTACACGACATTAATATTTATTTTTTTTGTCCATTAATATTGGTAGCCGCGGGCCACAAAAAAAATGAGCCACGGGCCGCGTGTTTGACATACCTGTTATTGAGTATAGTATACCACAAAAGGTACCTACGTAAATAGAAAACGTTGAAAAAAACGATTGTTACGTTTTTAAAAATTCTCCAACGCTATTAATGGTAGCGCGTCAAGTCGCATTCCTATGATATTGGCTATTGCTTATTAGGAAATTAAAAGCCGCGCACACCTGCAGTCATGACCTGACCCGTGGGCCCTTACAGTTAGGTATAATATTATAATATTATGGTATTGCAATAACACGGAACCTTGACTTTGACGTACGAGTGGGTACCGTAAACCGTGGTGGACAGACACGGCGGCGGACGGTCCCTGGGGGGCGCCCGGCGGGCGGCTTTACCGCCGGTAGTGGCCACGGCCGTATCGGTGGCGACGGCGTCGTCGTCCACAGCACCGGCGCCTGCTTCTCTACCGTCGCCGTCCACGTCGTACTTGTGGCCGCCGTCACCGCCGCCGCCGCCGCCGTTCGACCACAGCGGGCTGACGGCCCGAGCCGCCGCGTTCTTGACGACGATCCACGAGCCCCACACCACGGAGAAGGCGAACATCTTCAGCGACTCGGCCGCCGATATGGACACCACGTTGTCGCGGCCTCCGACCGGTCTGGCCATCGCGATGACGCGGATGGAGGCGGACTCGAACTGGGCGCGTGTGACCGGTCGAATGGATTTTTAAACGACAACGCGCGGGTGGTGCGTTCCGTGTTCAGCGGGTGAACGACGACGACAATGCGACTCACTGGAATCAACGGACTAAAATCAAACCGATTGCGGTGCACGACGTTACGTCGGTTTAAACGAAAAACGCGATCGTGCCGCCCGAGTTACACGCGAAACGATTTAATAAGACGTAAAACCAACTGTCGTGTGTGATGTCCGTGACGATGATATCAGATTATTTTGTGTAATAATTGTGTATCGCGGTAAGGCACCGGCAACAAGCGCGCGGCGTACAGTCGACGGGTCACCTTGTTTTTGTTACGAATCACAATAAAATCACACGCGGTTTACGATAGGTACCCCGCGAGTGGCGTGACGGCGACTGAGCAGCGACGTGGACGCCGGACTGCGACAACCGGACAGCCGCGGATTAGGCTCAGAACTTTGGTCTCTAGCACGCCGTGTGGTGGATGTGTATGTGTATGTGTGTGTGTGTGTGTGTGTGTGTGTGTGTGTGTGCCTGTGCGAGCGCTCGATAACGACTGCAGAAATATTACGAGTCGAGTGGACTTTGACGTCCGTTAGAGACGGGCGTACGATTACAACGTTATATAAATAATATATAATATGTGTGTATGTGTGTGTGTGTGTATTATAAATATATATACCGACAAAATATAATATCATTAATTTGTTTGTTATTGCTGTTATTATTGTATACCGTTAATCAACAACTGTGAAAACTCATTTGAATAGCATATTTATACTGTGTTACAACGTAACTTATTTCGAACCGTGTGTATGCGGGCCACGGTTTTTTAACTGTTATTAGACCCGAGCTTAGATTTCGTATAACGCATGCTAATTATTATACAAATAAAATGAAAATGACCTGTTTATAGGTACCCGTTCTAAACAATACCAGTTAGTTGATATCAAATTATAAGTCATTATTCATTACTCACTACTTATTAGTTATTCTTATTACCTATAACAGCTATTAATAATTAATAACTAGTATTACCTAAAATATGCAATCATATTTCAGACGAGCATCACACTGTGATCACGTGAAACGGCGGTTGTCAAGTGCGGACTGCGAAGATCCGAAAATCGAGTTGTATTGCGTAGGTATGGCCAAAATTAGTTCATGACGTTCATGGCATGTCCTGTGGCAATACCTACAACTTAATATTTAAAATTCCCAACCTTTTTTTAATTGTAAATTATTAAACTGATTTTGTTGATACATATATAAATCTAAACAATTGAACATTTGAAATTATGGTTCCAGGTTCATTCGATAGTTCCAACAATTAATATACGCTATTATAGAAACAAATTGGAGGTACCTATGCAAAACCCCCATGTATGGGTGGATCATACTGATTACTGGATAAATATTGATGTAAACTTATTTTTATACAATTATACCAAACGGCAAACTTAGTAGAAATGTGTAGCCACTAGCCGGTGTTGGGGAATTGTCTGCACAAATTCATTATAAGAGAATAAAACGGCTACAACCTTCCATCTAAAAATTTGGTTCCAGTTGTGTGTAATGTAATGACTAATCGACTGTAATGGACATTGGACACAGTCTCCCATCTCTGTTACGATTTAGTATTTACAACGTACACTTTACAGTAGCTGTACAACACACCGGCGGCGCCCGAAGCGCGCGCACACGCGTACACTCAACAGATCTATGCACACTCGACGATGTCGCTGTGGCGGCAATTCGTGGCATTTCCATTGGTAGGTGGTAATCTAGTTATTGAATATTGATCGTAAATTATTAATTGTCCACGCGAATGAATAGATTTATTTTTGGCGGCAAATATTAACGGCCGTCGGCCAATGGAATGGGGCGAACCTTTATACAACAGTCAACGAGTAATGTAAAATCCGAGGGGCGACGGTATTCGTTCAGTTAGTACTGTTAATACTTACTACTTAGTAGGTCATTACGTCGCCTTTAGATTTTTCAAAATTATGTTGTATTTATTACAGTGGTTGTGCGTTTGTTGTGACTGACTACGCTCTTAGCAACGTGAGAGAAACGCCGTAGCTATAGACACCGTTAACTGTTAAGGCACAAACGCCTTTTTCCGTCAATAATATTCTGGTGAACGATTAACTCCGACAATTGCAGTTGTGTTCGATTGGTTCGTTGTACAATCTACACACACAATTTTTACTACAAAACAAAAAATGACGGAATTAAGTTTTTATTGCTTACAACTTAAAATAGACAAATTATAATATACTATATAAACAATAGGTAATTATAATTTAGTTAATATCCATAATATGTATATTATACTCATCATAAAATTAAATTTTTTATACCTAAATAATAATTACTTAGTAGGTAGGTACTTATTTGAAATTTTAAGATTTAGTTTTTAAATTATTTAAAACTTACCTTATTAAAATGGATATTTTAAATTTTTCATTTTATTTTTTGTGCATTTTTGTTAATTAAGAAATTTAAAATAAAATTATCAACTTTTTAATATTTGAGTTAATGTTTTAAATAAGTTGGTATAATGTGTAGGTACATATATTCCTGTATATAATTAATTTTTATTGCAATACATTTAAAATTATTTTTATTTCTCGATTATGAATGAAAACAATTTTTTTTTAAGTCATACTTTTAATAAAAATTAAATCCAATTAAATTTTTTGATTTTCATTATTCATATCTTTTAACTGGGGTAATCTTATTATTTTTTTAATATGCCTACATACTATTATGATGAAAATATGCATTAATATTATTAATGTGTAAGTAATGTAAAATCATAATTCAAATTTTGTTGCACTTAATATTTGTTACTATGGTAACATTATTGGTTTCTGTGATGAACATGTCATAAATTATATATAATTATAATTAATTCATTGCAATTTAAAAATTAAGTCATATTCATAATCTAAAATCTTTCATACCAAAGAAAATTCTTTATAAATTATAATTTGTTATTATCTTCTAATTTTTTTTTGATATTTTATTAGTTTAATTTAATTACAATTTTATATTATTTGCTTGTTAAATTATATAACTATAATTTAACTAGGTATAAATAATGTGTACTTGCCTATTTTGTAAAAAATATTAGTAGTAAACTATTAAAATATTAAATAATTATAAAAAATTGATTTTATCAACTCATATTTAGGTTTAAAATTTATTTATGATTTTTAATTACATTATATTAGTCATAAAAAAATGTTTTAGTGTTAATGAATATTAATTTAAATGTGTGATTATTTTGTTCATAGTTTTTAACTGCAAGCTTAATTTATTTTATTTATTAACAAAACAATTATGAAATTAAATATGAATTTAGGTAATTCCATGTAAATTTCAATAAAGAGTAGAATGAAATTAGAAGGGTCAGCTAATGCTAGTTCTCAAATTAATGCTATAACTGATGTAAAAACTGGTGAGGTTGGTCAAAATCTTGCTGTACAACCAGTAAAATAAACTTCTGTGGTGCTTTCTTACATTAACCAAGTAATTCATGATTTCAGAATATCAATAGTAATAAACTACATACAAATTCTATACCACATAAAACTAGTCCAGTTATCAAAAATATTATATCAATGGATGATGATGAAAATCACCTAAATCATAAAGATAAAAATTCTTCTACAGTTACTGACAATAATGGCGGGCATTGTGTAGTAGTAAAATCAGGTAAGTTCAACTAAATAAATATAATTCAAGAAATAATGAAGAATTTGTATAATAAATGCAGTTCTTATTCAAATAAAATTAAAATTTTAATTTTTTTCTATTCATTGTTAGTTCTCTATTTTTCATATAAAATGTATTTAATCAAATATCATAAATAAAAAATTACATGTTTATAATCTAGAAGAGACTTCAGGAAGATATTATAGGTAGGTACTTCCCTTTTACCAGTTCCAACATTGAGTAAGATTCAAAGAAATATTTGTTTTGATTTTCATTTCAATTTTTATTAGTTTATATTTTTTAGTTGATATTTTTATAATTCTATTCTATTTCATGTACCTAAATTATCTGGTATAGTACTTTTTATTTTGATTAAAAGGCTCATCATACTGGTGTAGACATTTTCACTAAAGTTGAGCCTTGAATTTATTTTTTATATAATATTATAGTTTAAATATTTAATTGTTTGTTTAGTTCCCAAAGTAGAACCTAATGATTCTGATGATATTGGCCAATCTACTTATGTACAGTATGTTGAAGGAACTAGTAAACAAGCAATATTCAAAAATGAACAAATGTAAATTTTTTGTTATACATTTTAATTAATACTAATATTATATAAATCATGTATTTATTTTATTAATATTAAATATATTTATTTAATTTTTAGAGCATATCCGATTTATACTGTGGGTAAGAGTGGAGCAATATATCAAACTGGTCAAACCCATTATTACACTCCAAGCACAAATTCTTATTCACAAGTAACTAATATTCATACAAATCCTGATCAATTTTTTTTATGATATTTTCATGATTTTGAATAACAGAATTATTCAAAAATTCTTTACCAATTGTATTTTTATATATGTACATAGGTATACATAAAGAAGAAAAATATTTTCTTATGTTTTACATCTTAGTAAACATTTGTGCAGTTAACGGTTTGGAGTTTCTGGATCATTCTGTTTAATTAATTATAATTTTATTACTATAACAATTTATTGAAATTATATTTTGTTCAAAATTGTATAGGTTACAAATACTTTAGGTCAACCAACATGTCATGGAACCAATATTATACAACAGAGCGTTGATAATTATCATACTATTATCTCTGCTGCTCAAAGAAACAAATCAAATTCTACTATATCTCCGGTATTATAATGTCTATAGTAATGTACCTTAATGTATTATGTTTTATTCATAGCTTAAATTTTTATAAATTGCTGTATTTTACTTAATACAATTTTATGTTTTGCTTCTATTTTTAGGATATGTCATATCATACTGTGAAAACTATTAAGTCTGACATAACAAACACAAATACAGATCAAATTAATGGTATAAAGTTAAACACAGAAATGCATAACCCCAGTCTTACTCACACAAATAAAATATCTCCTGCAATTGTAAGCATTGATAGATTTTATTTTAAATAATAAATAATGATATATTATTATAAAGGTCAACTGGCTGAAGGAAAATTATGAAATGGCGGAAGGAGTATCGTTACTTCGATCAACAATTTATGATTATTATTTAACACATTGCTTAAAAACTAAAATTGATCCTGTAAATGGACCATCTTTTGGTAAAATTATCCGATCTGTGTTTACAGGATTACGTACAAGACGTCTTGGAAGTCGGTATGGTGATAATTTTTACCGTATGATTACTTTCTGTGATTTATTTATTTAACTAACATCATTTTTTTTTTTTTCAGAGGAAATTCCAAGTATCATTATTATGGTATTAGAATTAAAGCTAATTCTTTATTAAACAACTTTAAAGAAGAAAAAGAAGGCCTACCAAGTCAAACAAATCAAAATAGTAGTTCAAAACATATTATGTTTATTAAAACAGAGGAACAAAATCACAAGCAATACACCACCAATAGTTCAGATTCTGCTGATTGTTCTCAAAACAATATTCCATCTTATCAAGCACAAGACCAAGAATATTTAGGTGATGGTGCTAATGCTGTACCAGAATTTCCTGATGTATTGAATGAAATAGAATTGAATCATAATTTTACTTTAGAAGATGTAGATACATTCAAAAATTTATATCGTGAACATTATAAAGTACTAAGTTGTTTTTAATTTGAAACTTATTTATTTTTATTTAAATAATATTGCCTTTATAGGCGTTTTTAAGTGCCATATTAAATTTAGAATTTGGCACTGTTGAGTCACTTTGGCGTCAATTTTGGCGTAATCAAGATAGTAATAACGATGAATGTGAAGAAAAAAAATATTTATCTAAAGAAAAATTATATTCTTTATCAAAATGCAAAACATTGCAATTATTTGTAAAAACTGCTGACTTTCTATTTTATCAAAACTTGGTAAAAGTTTTAATTCCAGATGTTCTTCGGCCTGTTCCTAGTATGCTTATTTCATATATTTGTATTAATAGATATAACTATTAACAAATTATGTACAGGAACATTAACACAAGCCATTAGAAACTTTTCCAAAAGTTTAGAGTCATGGCTTATTTCTGCAATGCAGGGATACCCAGAAGAAATGATTTCAATTAAAGTTATTATTTCGACAACATTTCTATTCAATTATCGACCATTCGTTGTTATTACTATAATTTATAATTTTAGGTGACTGCTGTTAGAACTTTTGCACAAACATTACGTAGATACACTACTGCAAGAGCTGTACTTCAAAATTATACTCAAATAAATCAAATGCTTACTGATTTGAATCATGTAGACGTCCGTAATTTACAAGAACAAGTAAGAATTATTAATATTTTTGTATTCTTAAAAAATATATACATATATAATTAGTTGTTTGATTATAAAAATAACTTCTTAAGTAAGCAAATATGATTTTCATTTTGTTTCATTAATATACTATAATGGTCTTGGACATCTTTTTTTCACACTAGGTTCAACTAATAAATAATTTGGGAAATGAAAATGATTCAGTTTATACAAAGAAAAGAGTACATGCAAAAATAAATGAGAGTTCTGAAATGCTTTCAGATTTTAATAAACTCTCTAAAAAAACAAAAACTCACAATTGTTAGTATTTTATAAATTTGTATGGATAAAGTGAATTGATTACATATTATGATTTTTAGATTTGGCCACTGCTTCCACAGATGCAGAATGTTTTGATGTTATGTAAGTATCTGTGTTAATAAAAGGCAATATTTGTGTGTGTAAACAATCTATAACCAAATCTATTGCATTCAATGTGGATTCTAAAATACACGAGGAAGTGTATCTTAAAGTCAATCTTTTTAATTTTTAATTTTATTATTTATTATTTAAATGTACATCAAAAGACAATGTCCATATGTTTATAAGCTTATAAATTAAAAAATACTCAAAAACAATTTTAACAAAAATTTCAAAGATTGTTCTTCTAGCGATCAGGAAAGTTTAGAGAGTAGTTTAATCATGTCCAAAAATATACAAAATGCTGTATTCAAAATAATTATATCTGTCTCAATCAAATTGGTTTACAGACCGAAGTATATCTATGCCCATGAGCGTACACTAAAACTAATATAAACCTATAAAGTGCTATATTTTAGTTTATTTATTTTGTGAAAAAATGTTGGTTATACAGCTAGCTATAAAATAAATTGTTATTTCTTCAGATATAATCATTTTTTTTTACACATTTAATTTATAATAAATATATATTATTTTATTGTTGAATAATATAAATCTTTTTGCTTTAGATTAAAAAATCCATCAAAAGAAACTAAAAACAATAAATCTAAGGTACTATTTGTTTAATTTATTTTACATTTTTTGTAGTTTATTTAAATTATAAGAAATATTTGTAAATGTTTATTGCTAATAGAGGTAGACTTTAAAAATTATCTCCAACCCTGTAGAAATAATAAACCTTCTTACAATTAGTTTTATAGTATTGAACAATTTTTTTTAGATCGAAATAAAAGAAGAAACTCAGTTGTTAAAAGATGCATCTAAACAAAAACATCCTATAAAAATAGAATACTTGAAAGAAGATATATTTGAAGATCATACACAAGAGATATATAATGGTAAATTGAAAGTATCATTTCTGAAATAAATGTTTTAAAATTTATTCTTCTTTAAATTAACTTAATAATTATCCTTGTAAGATAATCACCTTTTTTACACGTTTTCTAATTTTTTTATTTTTATATAATATCTATGATTAAAAATTATAATCTCACAAAAAATGGTTTTGAATGCATAGTTTTGTTTAAAATTTGAAAAATAAATAATTTATATTGTATAACCTGTTAGTCTGACTTAGCCAGAGGTTGTTGGATTATTTTTTTTAAATATATATCTGTGGTAGCAACAGTAAATGGAAATTTCAGAAATTGTACATGGAATCGCTTAAAACTAAAATAGTAGATAAATTGTTTTTTATTTCTTGATCGATATTGGTAATTTTGATGAATTTAAGTAGCTTGATTGCTGTGGAACACAACAACATATAATTATTTTTTTTATCTCATATATTGTAGATTTCCATATTATATCTTATATACTTTATTAATTAAATCTTATTTACAAATGATACTTTTCGTTTATGAGAAAGAGGAAGGTAAAGAAAGTGTTTGATTACTTAGGTTGTTGAACTAGCTTGTTCTTACTATACCTTTTTTCTGATACATATTAGTAAATTAATTTAATTTTCTGACTAATATTTTTAGTGTTAAAGATTAAAATGTATGTGTTTATGTTATCACCTAGATCACATATCTAACAAAAAACATGTTATATTTCTTCATAATTAAATGGTTAAATGTAACTATGTAAGTAAGCCATTGTTATTATCAACAGTTTTAAATCTTAGTTGTATTTATATTTTAAATTACTAACAGTGCATCATTAATTTTATAAACCACATTTAAGAAAAAATTAAAAATATTTAATTTTTAATAATGAAGTAGGTAGGTATCTAAAGATTTTAATTTTAAAATATTTCATTTCTATAATCCTATTACAAATAATTATATTATATTGTGTTTAAATATTGTATTTTATTAAACCTTTTTTTCTAAATTAAATAGATACTGCTATGATCAACACTCCTTGTAATCCAAGTATTTCAAAAATCCATAATGAGTACCCTAAATTGTGAGTATGAGAATTAAGTATAATTAACTAATAATTTATATCCAAAATAATGAACATTAATATATAAAAAAAAAATATGTACATTTTGTGTGTATCTCAAATACAACTGTATTATTGTATTAATAATTCTATTATTTTATAGATCTAATAAACTATCAAAAAAAAAAAATAATAAACAGAAAATAATAATTAAGGTTTGTATACATTCTTTTAGTATTTTGATATTACTTATTATTATTTTAATTATTAAATTGTATATGTTAAGGCTAATTCATTATGTTCATTGCTTTTTAAACTTTAAATCACTTTCTAAAATATATTTTTTTTTTTTTTAATAACACGAAGGCTATATCAAACAGACTCAAAAGATTCAAGTTTAAATTTTATCAAAATTAGATATTTAGACAATAAATATACGAGTATATTATTCATAGCAACATGGATATATTTTTTTTTTTTACAATATAGTTATAGTTTACCAAACTACTAAAGAATATTAATTTGTGCAATAAACCTATTCACTTCAATCTACAGTATATCTATATAGGCTAATGGTAGCATCACTAGCATCTCAGAACTGATTTTTATAGGTTGCCATTGATTTATACGTAACTTTGTTTTTGAATGTTTGTCAAAATAAATTATTTTTACTTTTTAGCATGATAAATTTGAATTATAGTTTAAGACATTAAATTGGTAAAGTTTAATTTATTCTTACTAATCCTTATAATAGATTTTAATTTTAATTATTCCATGTATGTAATTAGAGTATTGAGTATATCTAATTTGTTTTTTTTTAAATTAATATTTCATAGTCGGAAATAATGTCACCAAAAAACGATTCGCCTCAATTAGTAGACACGGCGGATGTAGAGGCATATAATAGTAATAATTGTTTTGGCAATGACAGTGGAGAACATTTTGAATTTTTCACTGCTCAGAACGATTACAAGTCAGAGTATCCCAATAAAGTTGACACTGGTGTATTTTCCTGTCAATTTTGTGATAAAAAATTTACCAACGCCAATAGTTTATCCAGACACGAAAATGTTCACACTGGAAAAACTCCTATCGAGTGTGACGTCTGCTTTAAAACGTTTATCAGCAAATCTATATTATGTATACATAAAAGATCGCATACCGGAGAGAAACCATATGCATGCAACGTTTGTGGACGATCATTTACGCAAAAATCACATTTGGTTTTACATTATAGAACACACACAGGCGAAAAACCATACAAATGCTGCCTGTGTGAAAAAAAATTCTCATCAACCAGTGGTCGAGCAGAACATACACGTAGACGTCACCCATACGTTTGATTGCATGGTTGCAGTACTCGTTAATGATGGCTTAAGGTCTTAATTTCTCCAGATGAAAATGTACCTGATAAGAATTTGTATGGAATCTTTTATGAGACAATTTAAAATGCATAACCTTTCTTATAGTTAATTATGTTATTGTTAAGTATTAAGACTTTGAATGTAAACCTTAAAAATTAAAAATCGTTTTCTTGAAAGTACTAATTGTTTATTAAACAAAATAAAAAGAGAATATGTTCATAACTCAAAGACGTAAAGCGATAAACCACTTCACTTGGTCGCTTAAAATCAGGAACACAATAAACTGAGTAAACGATATCACTACATCGTCGTAAACGCGACATCCGTAAATGCACTTACGAATTTTTCTGCAGATCACGTCGAACAACAAACAAAAACTCTCAATGTGACGTTGTGGTATTTTCTTTCTCCTTGAAATTCTTTTCGAAACTACTATAGTTAGGTTATACGTTATACTACTACAAAACCACATGGACCTGAAAACCTTTTTTGTGTGACTTTATCACATCGTCCGTGCAAATGACCAATTCGAGAAAAAAATTTACCGATATACATTTCAGAACGTTTTCACACTTAACCAATCGTACATGATATAATATGTTGTACATTTATGTATATACATATATTTTTTCAAGTTTTAATTGTAGAATAAGTTTTTGATTTTTTAATATTAACCACCGTGTTATAAATAAAGATATGATTCAGTTTTCTAGAAACAAGTTTTTATTTTGTTTTTTAGCTTATTAGAGAGAAATATGGTACAATATAAATCAGACGTTATAGAAGTAAATAAAATCATGATCATGAATATTATAATATTATGTCCACTGTCCATTGTCCTGATTCTTGACATGTTTCATATGATAAAAATAGTGTAGATCGTGTTCTTATGTGATCCACACGGTTTTTGTTGTAGAATGTTTGTAAGACACTAAGACCCCGTAAACAAAATAATTATAGTCGTGGTAGTACTTGATTAGGGTGTTTCCTACACATAATCATGTACAGTAAAACTTTCTAAATACTGAAAAGTCGTGGTCGTTAAAATCTGGTTCGCTATTTAGAGAACCGAGGACTGAGGAGGTAAAATTACTTTGCATTAATTTATCAGTATCTGATATTTCCATTGAAGGAGTTGAGGTTAAATTCAAACATAATTCAGATATAGAAGGATTTCCTGGTACATTATAGTTCCTAAATATAACAATTTTGTTTAAAATAATTACTATGAGTATTTTGAAGAAAACAAAATAACTTTTGATGCAAGTATCATAACTGTATAGGCAATTGAAATACACAATAATTTTGCCTACTTTTTCATATTATGTAGTGTAGGAATTGCTCCACGTTTAATACATTTTTTATGTTGTCAAGTAAAACAATGATGATCATAATGAAATGAACACAGCTTTCGGTTAGGAAAAATGTCAGATTCATTATATTTACAAACTTCCAACCATTTTAACCTGATTACTGGATCTTTAGGAAATCTAAATATTTTTGAAAAGATTTATTTCTTTAGAAATATTCATTATAATGTTTATGCCACTATAAATGAATATTAATTATCTTACATATGTAGAGTTAATCCGGGATTTAATTTAACTGATTTTAAGCAAAAAACACACGCATTATAGTTACTCGTGATTAAAAAAGGAAGTTATTTATTCAATAAATAAATAAAAAACAATAAGGGTACAGAATAATTTGTTAAGTAAGTACTCAAGTGAAATTTAAGACAGAATTTTTTTGCTACCGGTGTCTATGAGATTATATTAACGCTCGTTTTTATATCTCTGGAGTGCAAACCCCATGAATAGCGAGAGCACCGAGAGTCGAAAGCCACTGTCAAAGCGACGACTGACGACTGACGAGTATGGACTATGGACAGTATGGTATCGAGTATCGACTATGGACCAAAATACCCGAATGTCCCGAATATGACAATTTATTTTGCCTTTGTTGTCCTTTCCCACCAGTGACACCAACCTGACCGCTACCCGTAATGAAAGAATTTGACCATTAAAATTAGACAGCGCCGTTGGTTTCATTGTATGCGACTTGCGTTCTTACTGTTCTCAGTGTTCTCAGTGTTCTCACTCTCAGTGTTCTTTATTCTCTTCTCACTTCTCTCTGTGTACCTACATTCGGCACGTTCAGTCTAGTCTACACTTTACATTATTCTTCCGATTTTCTGTGTAATAATTAATACTGTACTATGCTGACTGCGTGAAGAGTGTAGTGTGTAATAATATTAATTAATATCATATACTAAAATAAATAATAACTTTGATCATCAATTAAATATACACCTTTATAATCAATGCTTTAGTCTTCCGACTAGGTTTTCCAATTACAACCTAAACCACAAAATAACGTGTGAATCGTGAATGGTGTCCAAGTACCACCAATTCGTCAGCCCTCATATTTCATCACTCATCAAATCGTTGCACGGCCAATCCATTACATAGGTAACTTTTATTTAAATATTGTATTTTTCTAAAGTATAAAAGTATGACGTTGAATAGGTAAATAAGTTCTTAATTTTAAATGTATCTAAATCAATTGTTGAATGAAACTAGAATCACAAATCGGGTCGATTTGAATACCATCATGGTCACATAATTGATGTACCTAAACTATAGTAATAGGTAATAAAATACATGTACACCTACCAATTACCATGGGATTTCCTGTGTGCTGTTGTTAGATGGTGTCTTCACTCAAGCCCATATGCCTGTCAATTCAAATAATCTATCTTTTTTGTGTATTGTACCTACTTAAAATTTATATAGTTTATATAAGTTTTGTGGCTGATAGACAGCTATTATTGATATTATATAGATCATATCTAATATATGCTACTGTGTATACAATAATGTTTATTACATTTAATCAATATAGGTACATCATGCACCTAATAAAGACTTATTTACAATTTGAAAATTTTTTCACAAGGAATTTTTTACAAATTTGTTTAAAAAGAATTAGAAAAATAAAATTACAATACAATTAAAGAAAATTCCACTTAAAATTTTTATATTTTAATTTGTATTCACTTGACACACACTTAAATCTTACTTAGCAATAAATCAGAACAATAAAAGAAAAATTGCAAATTAAACAAAATTCATGGCTTAGTTATTAGCAATATGATAGATTTAAATTTTTACTAAAAATAAATCACATATCATTAAGACCATATTAATAATTTAATGCTAATTAGTAATTTTAACCATTATTTTTTTTATAATAACTTAATTATTATTTTATAAATTATCATTCCTTATGAACTTATATTTGATATTCACTCAATAAATTACCAGCTATATTTCACATAGTTTAATAGGTAAAATGTCCGTAAAAGAAATGGATTCTTTACAAAAAGAATTTCAGATGTCAAATAGATGTGAACCTACAAAATATAAAAATAGTTTTCACACATATGAAATGTTTGAAGTCCTTCAATCTTTACGCAAGTATGTTATAAGTGTTTTTAGTTGCTTACAAAATAATTATTTGTTGAATTCACCATTTTAGAAATGAAGAGTTTTGTGATGTTAAATTACAAACAGACGATGGTACTATAATATTTGGTCATAAAAATATATTGGTATCAGCTACCTATTATTTCAAAGCTATGTTTTCTAATTTTGTTGAAAGTAATAACTATCTTGTTAATATAAAAGAGTTAAATTCCACAATTTTACAACTGTTGATAGATTATATTTATACTAGTGAAATTATGATCACTGAAGAAAATGTACAGGTATAATTAAATCGTTGATTTGTTATGTGTTTTTGACAAAAAATTTTAATTGTATTATTGTTGATTTCTCAAGGTTTTATTACCAGCTGCAAATCTTTTACAGTTAAACTATGTAACAGACGCATGTGTAGATTTTTTAAAACATCAACTGGATTCTTCAAATGCTCTTGGTATTAGTAGATTTGCTGACTTACATAATTGTAGCGAATTGTTGTCAAAGTCTCAAGCATATATTAAAAAACAATTTATGTATGATAATTAGCTTAATTTTGTGGTTATGTTAGTAAATTATTTACAAGTTCATTTTTATTATTATTTCCAGAGAAATAACTAAATGTGATGAATTTCTATCTTTATCTTCTGAAGAATTGATTAATTTGATTTCCTGTAATGATCTTTTCGTTCCATCAGAAGAAAAAGTAAGTAAAGTAAAATTGATTATTGTTGTATTTTAATATTGTTAATGCTCAATTTGCCTACATATATGTATATAATAATCTAATCTAATATAATTGCAGTTTGAAAGAAGTATATTTTAATCTCATGTTTTATAAAATAAATTAATATTTGATAAGTTTGAGGATTGTTGTGAGGGTAAGGTGATTTATGCATCAATTTCTAAGGGATGCTAAAACATATGAAATATATTAGTGATATAGGTTGACAGATATCCACTCAGAATTATTTTTTCGTTTACCATAATTTATCATCGAATTCAGATTTAATACATCAATTAAACCAACCTACTTAAAATGTAATGTACATCAGAATATTAACCACTCTCCTACTTTCAAATTCCGAGAAGCAATACAATTTTTTTTGGTAGGCAATAATATAAATAAATTTTTAAATAAACAAAAAAAGAACATGATATACAATGCTATATTATTATATTTTATTATTGATTTAATAAAATATGAATTGGGTTGTAAAAAACAAATTTTTCCTTAATTTGGATGGTTGGTATAACATGATAATATACTAACTTGCTTTTTGCCTATAATAGGTGTTATTCTTATATAATTATATATTGTTATATAATAATTAAATTTTATTTATTTATTTAGGTGTTTAAATCTGTTCTTAATTGGGTAAAACATGAATTGGATTGTAGAAAAGATTTTTTGCCCAATCTGATGAAACATGTACGCTTGCCATTAGTTTCAAAACAGTATTTATTAGAAAAAGTAGTTAATGAACCTCTTCTTAAAAATAGTCTTGAATGTATGGTTTTTTCAAATATATCTATTGCTTATTATGAATTAATATTTGTTATTTTATAATGTTTTTAGGTAATGGATATGTATTTGAAGCATTAGAGTTTTTTGTCCTGAAGTCAGTACATCCTTTCACCATTCCACAGATGATTAGAAGTACACCTAGACAATCTGGTAGTTTACAGAAAGTATGATACCTGTTAAAATTTGCTCATCATAACTATTATTTTAATAATTTGTTTCTATTAGGTAGTTCTAGTGTTGAGTTGGTCACCAACAGCAAAAAAGAGTTATGCTAACTGGTATGACCCATTTACCAAACTATGGCAGATTGCACCAAGAACGATTAAAAGCCGCGAAACAGCTGGTCTAGTAGTTATAAAAAATAAATTTGTGGTAATTATGGGAGGTAACTCAGATTCTCAAACTGTTGAAATGCTTGATTTATCTTCACAATCACCCTGTTGGGTACAGATGGTAGACATGATAGTTAAAAGAAAAGATTTAGGAGTTGGTATATTAGACAATTGTATTTATGTTGTAAGTTGCACCAATATATAATTTATTTTATATTTTAAATGTATATCATATTAAATACCAGGTTGGCGGATATGATGGCACTAAGTATTTAAATAATGCAGAAGTTTTTGATGTCAATAATCAAAAATGGCAAATTGTATCTAATATGTTAAGCAAGAGAAATAGTTTTGGTGTTGGAGTACTCAATAACCTCTTATATTCAGTAAATTTATGTATTTTATTTTTTTGAATTTTTCATCCAATTCATTTAATTAAATCATGTAGGTAGGAGGTTATGATGGTTCATCATATTTGAAAACTGTGGAATGCTATGATCCCAGTCTTAACACGTGGGCAATAGTTGCAGAAATGTCTATACGTCGCGCGGGTGTTGGTATTGGAGTCTTGAATGGTGCAATGTATGCTATTGGTGGTATTAATGAATCAAGTGTTCTTAACAGTTGTGAGATCTATCAACCAATTACTGGACTTTGGACTCCAATTACAAATATGCATTTGGCTCGATATAATCCTGGTGACTATATAATTATTTTTTAGAAAATCTTTTTTTTTAAATATATTGATTTTTAATTATTTTTTTTAAATTTAGGAGTATTTATATTGAATGGCTTGTTATATGTAATGGGTGGAAACAACCGCTCCGTTATTTTAGATTCTATAGAAATTTATAATCCAATTACTAATACTTGGTCAATGGAAACCTTCTCAACAAATGGTAATCAAATTTATGGTGCAATTGTTGTCGATAGTCCACCACATTTCGGAACTTTATGTACAGAACATAAACAATGTATTTTTTAGTTGTTAAGATAATACATACTATATTCAATATTGTTATACTATCAGTTTTAGATTATTTTTTTTGTAAGTAATCAAAAAGTTTTTTATAATTTTAATTTGTTAAATCAAATAAACCAGCTATAGTTTATATTAGATTGTATTATAATTATACCAGCTAAATATTATATTTAATTATATATCTCTTGCAACTAATACATAGTCAGAATTACTATAGTTTGATAATGCTTATTATCATTTACTTTTCTACCTACTTAATATTTTAGATTTTGAACAGAGCAAAAGAAATATTGATTTTACAATGATCTATATATATTTTTATTTTTTTTTGTGAATGTATGTATGATAAGTATTTGATAAAATATTTCGATTCTCATATTTTAGGGTGGTTTTGAAAAGAAAATTTAGATTCTATTTTAGAAAGGTCAAAATTAAAAATTTGCAGTATTTTTCTAGTAAAATAAATCAAAAATTAAGAAAAAATAGATAGTTTTATGAAAAGCCAGTTTTTGACAAAGTCAATTTTTTTTTTTTTATGTTACCTATTTCAAAATCAATAACCTAAGATACTTGAAATTTTCACAGAATATTTATGTTAAGTGTTTCCTATACATGATACAACTTTTTTAAATAATTTGAGTCAGCTATTTATATACATGGTCTTTTTTTATATTTTTTCTCTATAAAATATTTTGGGGAAAAAAAATTGTGCATAATTTCTCAAATATATTATATGATGTTCTAAAATTTAACTTTAAAGAATTTGAAGATATTTGAATTTTTTCACTAGGTCAATAAGTTTATCAATTTAAAGTTCCTCATAACTATTTATTATTATCACTTAGAAAGAAAAACATATTTTTTTTAAAAGCATTTCAAATTTCAATTATCATAATTTTGCAAATTAATTTGTAGTTAAAAATGTTTAACGTGTTCAATTTTTGTAACAAAGGTTTGAAAATTGTATTCTATATTCCTGTTAAGTAATCCGTACTGTACTCAACTACTGTAAACAATTCTAACAAGTATTGCTATACAATTGTTTAGTTGCATGTAAATCGATATTCAATGGGAGTGTCTACTAGATAGGTACCTACTCGGATATCGTCTTTAATTGTTTTAAATATAAAATAGCATCAGGATAAAGTATCCAACCCTGCAATTCATCTATAGCGAATTGTCCAATTGGATATCAATTTATCCCGGGTACCTTATAAATACTAATAGCTAATAGATAACAAATGTTTTTTTTTAATAAATCAACATACAAGAAGAAATAGATACTAGGTACATGAAAAATTGATCAATTTAATGATTCGTTAAAATTTAAAACTTAATGAATCAATCACGGCCACCAAATAATGTTTAAGAAACGATTAGTTTTACTATTGGTTTATTGCATAAGTGTTAAGTGATTATTTTCAATTACTTTGATATGCTATTATTTAATTTAAATATAATTTATTTGGATTTTTATTCAGATGAATCAATAAATAGTCCAGTGTGAAGTTTCGTGATCTTTTATAGATATCACTATTACAAAAAATGATGTTTATTTTAGAAACAATAAAATTTATATCGTCGATGAATGATCAGAAAGTTTCAGGGCAACTGAATGTTAAACTGCTAAACGCCTTGGAGATTGATGGATAGACGCCCACACAAGTGTCACATTTTTGTTTTCCGGTGTTGTTGTCGTCAAAGGTTGGCCAGACGGTTTTATTCTTTAGTGTAGAACCCGTTACTCTAAAACAGGACACCCAAACGAGCATTGTTTTTCTATCCGGAACAAAATCATGTCGTTCAAGTTGGAACAGGATGCGAAATGCTCGCTGACTAGAAATCGCAGAACCGCCATTAGAAATATACTTCTCTACGACAAATGCGCCGATCTTTAATGATCCACATCATTACGCCTACTATAAATGGCATGTACGAGTACACAGCTATCGATCGATACCCTCTCCATAGTTGTACCACCGCCATAACTCACACAACGCAGTGTCTAAATACGGGAGGTTTTTTTGCCGGACCCTGTATTTTATGTATTCTTAAAAAAGTCTGAGAGTGATATGGGTTTTCGGATTTTATTTTAAATCTATTCTAATTGTACCTATTTAATTATACTATTACAGTATTACATAATAATCTCTCATCTCCTTAATTTTTTGTGTTAATAATTACTACAATTTATGTTGATAATTTGTTTTATGATGTTATTTGAATCTAACGATGTATTAATTATTAAAAATTAATTTAGTATTGCTAATACGGGTATGCTGACACTTGGGCGCAGAAAATTGGATGCGGGACTTGGGGGAAATTGGAAGCAAATATCAATACTTTTTTAAAATGAATGTAAAACATACACCTACTTAAATTTTTAATTATAATTTTATGATTTTTCTTATTTTTATTTATTTATAAGACAAAACTGTGCGGCGCCCAATTTTCATTGCGTCCACTTGTCTTGCACTTTATTTTCCACGCCCAAGTGTCTTACAACCTCTAATAAGATATCTGAAAAAATTGTTAACGATTTATTAATTATTAACTTTAATAGTAATGAATAGGTATTTGATTTTCTATTATAATATTTGTAATATTACCTACTCATATTAATGAATTTTTAGTATTCTTAAATATTAGGTACCTACTTCTAATAAGTTTAATGTAATAGTGTTACAACTACTTACAAGTAATGAAGCATCTGTGGCAGAAGAATCTTTCCAATATTATGCTATACCTACACTTTAAAGCATCTATCGTTCTACCACAAACTCAAAAAGCTCAATAAAATCGTGAACTACCTTATACCTTTGTACCCAGCACGCAAGCACGGCACTAGAATTTTTTTTCAGGGGGGGGGGGGGCAAAACGGGCAAATATTTTTTTTACATGGGTTAAGATTTTTTTCTTTTTTACAAATTTCAAAACATATTTTATTAAAATTGTAGTAGATTTTTCCCTTATTAGATAATACTAGTAGGTTAATCCACCGTAAAAAGACTGAAGATGTTATTTGTTCAAACTTCATTAATTAAATTATTATAATCTATATTAAATTCAATTTATTTAGTAGTGACGACAAATATATTAAATAAAGGAACTAAGTATTGATATTTTACACAATATCTGTTTATGCATCAAACAGTAAATGATTGAAAATCTCAAAACGTTAAAATAGTTAACAAAAATATATAAAGTTGCATCAATACCAGTAGGAATAATATTTTTTTAAATAAAAATTTGTGATTACCAACCTAATAATATTATTAAACTAGTAAATTTCAAGTATTTAGTTCAATACATTTTTAAATTGGTACCTATTTGCATAGTATATTATGTATTAAAGAATATACTTTTATTTTTAGTTGAATGTTTGAGGTTAAAATATTTCATGGATATATATTAAAATATAGATATTTAAAGAAATCCTTTCTTTTTATTAATTATTAAGTAACTTCTTACACAATATTAGTGTATTAATTAAACATATTAAAAATTAGCTATTAGTATTTATTAGGTACCCGGGATAAATTGATACCCAACTGGATAATTCGCTATAGATGAATTGCAGGGTTGGATACTTTATCCTGATGCTATTTTATATTTAAAACAATTAAATACGATATCCGAGTAGGTACCTATCTAGTAGACACTCCCATTGAATATCAATTTACATGATATCGATTAACAATTGTATAGCAATACTTGGTTAATTAACACAGATATTTAATTAATATGTATATCTTCATTGCATTGTTTAAATATGTAGCTTACAATTATTATACCGTCTCTGAACCAAATTTTAAAATTATATTAAAATAACTTGAAATATATAAAAATTAAACATTTTGTAATACTTTAAATATAAATTTAATAATATTTATTGTTGATTCATTTTGTCATAAAAACAAATATATTCCTATAATTTAATACTATAAATTCATTTATTTTTATATTTTTAGGGTGACATAAACTAAAAAAGTTTGGGAATCGGTAATATACATATTAAATACATATAAAATGTTGGGGGGGGGGGGATAAACAGTTCCGGTGGAATCGATATCAGATATGTAAATATTATAAACAGTAGCCGGTAAAATTAATAGCCGGAATTGATACAAATTTTTTTCCTAAACAGGTAGTTTCTGCGGGATCAATAATTCTCCTTAAAAGTGTTATAAATGCCCATATTGTCAGATGGTCAAATACCATTTGAAAATCAAGGCAACGATTTGTAGTTTTTCAAATAATTATATTTATATCAGATTGCCCTATTTAAACGTGATTAAAATTATTAAATTAAAAAATAAAAGTGACTTTACGCCGAAACGGCAAATGACAATGCCGAAAAATTGAACAGCTGTGTTATATTATTTCATATTTGAGTCAAGTTATTACAGCGGTTTATATTATAATAGCTTCATCATTAATTCGAATGTAATACATCAAATAAAATGACATATTGAATGACGAAATATACTTGAAATCGACTATATACAGTTGAAAGAATTTAATTTTTTTTAAGAAATTCATTTTTTTATTTACATAAAATCGGCATAATAAAACCATTTATCAAATGAGCAAATACAGAATTAGAATAAAATATATTTAAAAATAATAATTGTAAATAATGTAAATACTACGTACACCACCTTTTATTTATTTTGCTAAAACCGTGATGAGTAAATGAACTGTATTCTTAGAAGTATTTTTTTAAGCCCACGATGCGTGAACAAATAACATATTGTTTTAACCTATTTACTATGGCAAACTAAAACACGTATTATGCTCAATTTTAGATTTGGTGTAGAATAATAAATTTAATAAATGCATGTTTATTATTGAATCTAAAGATGCTTTTTAAAAAATAAAAATAACTTATTTTTAGTTTAAAAAAAAATTAAAAATTATTAAAGATACCTTATATGTTTTTGTACATAAATTAAAAAATATCAAAAATATATATTATATTATCATTATTATTATTATATACATAAACATTACTTTTTTAAGAGCATTTAAGTTTTAAATTC